ATGTCCACTTTTTTTTTTTTTGTCTATGTAGTGTACTTTACATTGCAGTGCCCGTATTTACATATTAGAAGTTAATACACAGTTACTTACAGTAGGCGATATTGTGTAATTGTACTGTAAATGACTTTAATTGATGACAGCATTTTTGGGTGAACTGTCCCTTTAGGAAATTTGTACTTTATTTTGTTAATCATTCTCAAGTCATCCTAAACCTATAAGACTTCCTTTTTTTAATCTGGAAATTGTGTTGTTTATTGTTTACTAAAACTATTCAAAATCAGGTAATTTTGGTAATTGAAATAAAGCTCAAACGAAATAAAATAAAATTGCTTAAATTACCAAAACTAAAACTGAAATAAAAATAAAATAAAGCTATATATAAATATAAAAATAATAATAATAAATAACAAAAATGCATTAAAAAAATTTAATGAAATTAATAGTATGAAGTAAAAGTATGCTTAAAATGTATAAATACTATAGTATATAAAAGTATACAAAATAGTATAAATAACACTAAAACAACACTGTGTGAAACACAAAAGAAGATATTTTGAAGAAAATTCATGTCCATTCAGTGAAATTCAGTGGGGTCCAAAACAACATGGATTCCCTATTTGGACAAAAATGTCTTCTTTTGATTTCCACAAAAGAACGTAAGGCTTGCAGGACAGAAATCACAGAATTGTTCAGTGAAATACTGAAATATCATCTTGTTTTGAAGAAAAAATATCTTAACATCCTTAAAGTAAAGAGAAGGAAAAATGCTTGGCGATACTGAGACAAGTTTTTAAAGGGGTCATATGATGCGATTTCAAGTTTTCCTTTCTCTTTGGAGTGTTACAAGCTGATTGTGCATAGATAAGATCCCTGAAGTTGCAAAGACTAAAGTCTCAAAACCAAAGAGATATTCTTTATAAAAGTTAAGATAAAAAATAAAAAAAACCTTACATTCTTACTTATTAGGGGCAAAAAACATTGGACTCAACCCATAGCACTATCACTCAATGAGCTCTAGTCAGGATGAAATGAAGGTTACAGAAAAATGGAAAGAGATGGTGAAAGGGGTGATAAAAGATACATACGTACATGGAGGCTGGACTGAGAAGACGAGATGTTAATAACGGCAGAGCTGGTGCCGTCTGCCTGTTATAAACCAGAAGCATTGGTTAGTTGGTTAACGTTAGTAAATATCTGTCAAAGCCCAAGCAAAGGCTTTGGGGAGATGATGGGGATCAAGTTTCATTTAATGCACTTGGGGAGTTCAAACCAGTACTGCTCTGAACACCACCAACACCAAACACAAGACATTACAGGTGAAGATATAACAAGTTATAGTGCTTACGAGGGAATACACAAAACCAAATTGCGCACACTGATACCGCAGTTCACCGGCACACGCTGTCTGTTGAACTCATGCCGCAATTCCCAATCTTGGAGGTCGGTTTTGAATGCTAGCGGCTGTTGAGGATGCAACTGACTTTCACAACCTAGCATTATTTACCGGAACTATACAGCATCACTTTACTGCTGCAAATCAGGCACCTGAATCAGCTCTGTACAAAATGTGTTTTCTTTTTTGAAAGAATATTAGTTTATTGCCTACTCTCTCAGAGTAAACAGCGCAACAGTAACTGTGCAAGGTCAATAGTGCTACATTTGTGAACAAGGCATCTATTATGAGCCTAATTTACATAGAAAGTGTTCATGCTAAAATTAAGTGTTTAATTTTAAATGCTGCAGCACTATTTCAGTATAATTAGTGACTAGTAAAACCAATTGTGATGTTATTGACTAAAATGTACACAACCATTCAAAAGATTGTGGTCAGTTTGTCCAGTACTTTTCTTCAGCAAGGATGAATTAAATTGATCAAAAGTCTAAGTTTTCATTTTACAAAAAAAAGGGAACTTTCTATTTATCAAAGACTCCTGAAAAAAATGCTTCAGTGTTTTCACAAAAACATTAATCAGCACAACTGTTTTCAGAATCGATAATAAAGTTTCTTGAGCACCAAATATTTGAGTGATTTCTGAAGCATCATGTAAGACTGGAGTAATGGCTGCTGAAAATTCAGCTTTGACATAACAGGAATAAATTACATTTTAAAATATATTCCAATAGAAAAAAATGATTTTTTAATTTGTAACAATATTTCTCAAAAGTAATGCAAAAGTAGCCTTTAGTTGAAGTGTTTTGTGCCTGCACTGTTTGGCTGACTGTGTAAGAAACATGGTTACTGTAATCAGTCTCAAGACAAGAGAGAAGATATGGTCTTTTCAGTAGAGCTTGGACATGCAGGTTTGCCATTTTCTGCTGTGTATTTGTGTTCTGATTTAAACATTCAAACACTACTGTGCACATTGTTAAATATGGAATTTGATTGGAGATATTGGTCTTACAGAGCAAGAATTGGACCTTTTACTGCCATCAGGATCCAAATTTTCCTCTTTAGCTTTCTTTGCTTTTCCTGGTTTCCTGAGTGGATCACAGCAGCCTCAGGCTCCCAATGGAATGCTAGAAATCATGCGGGATTGTGGGCCGGGGATCAAACTCCTGTTGCTTCTAGTGCGATAGACCACAGAAACTTTATTCTGATCCAGTGCAGCTGACCAGTACTAATGACCTTGCTACTGTACATCAAACTTACAAAGAAAGAAAGAAAACTTACAGTGAAATGTAGATGAGCTGTCAAAACTGCAAATCAAGTGCATGTTATGCATGTGCAAAAGAAAAGCAACTACACCCTCAAGCAAAAACAAAATGTGATGAGCGTGCAAACCGTGCAACAAAAGCCCTTCTTCACAAAAAAAACGAACAACTGACATACCCTTTTCCCACAGTTCCTTCACTTCCTATATTCCATCAAACATTTCTGATAAGACAAAATGAGGGTCACTGGGGATTCCACCACAGATGCCTGTGGTTGTGGTCCCTCTTTTATTTATGTTAGCCAGAACGAGCCATTTGATGGCAGTCCTCACACAAGTGCACATTTATAAATAAAGCCCATAGTGCCGTGGTCACCAGACATCTGAAATCAGGAGCAGAACTGGAGGGGATGTTTACGGTGTATTCAGCAATACATTTTCAGAGTCAAACATGCGGTTACATTCAACTGATTTCAGTCAAACCACAAATGGTGTGCCCATTGATGTCGTCTAAATGGCCTTGAGCATTTGGACTGACGTGCAGGCCAGTGGGCACTGTGTTACGTGACATTTCGGGATCATCGTTGGGTTACTAATAGATGAATGTAAGTTGACCGTGTCACATACTGTGGAATACAACGAAACCGAATCTTGCTCCCGGATTAGATCAACGGAAAAGGTGGCAAGTGCAGAAGAAAAGAGCCTCATTAATGGCCCTTAACTAGAGCTGGGCGTGGGCTTATAAAACCCAGCTCAAAAGGGCAAGCGTGAAGTATTCCTCTTTCCACTCTGCAAACGACAGAACACCTCACATACACAGGGAAGCACTGCCAGCCGGGCTGGAAGGTCGAAAACCTAAATAAACTGGCTTTTGTGAGTATGATCCATTTCCAAGGAAACCAAGTGGGCCATGCGGTCCCGAATCCAATATTCTAGTCTCATTTTCTTCCAGTGACTGAACAAATAAAGGCTGAAAGGTTAAAGCTGAGACATGGAAAAAAAAATGCAATTTTCCTAATCCCCCTTGATCATTTTTTATGTTGTTTTTATTTATTTTTGGGGAGTATTTTTAGGTCGTAGTTATGAGAGGGAATTGATGACAGCTCGAGGAGGCGTCATTAAAGCTGGCCTCTCTTTTCTCAGAAAGCGAAGCGTGTCATTGTCTCAAGATGGTGTGAGCCTTCATCATACATGCAAGAGCCAAACAGTATTCCATCATGTTACTGAATTCATGATTTCATCAGACACCCACCCCCAATTATGCCATAAGTTGACTAACATGGCACCATAGCAACATCACAAGGCTAGTTTGGCCAAAATCTTACATCTCATCTTGAAATCACAGCCTAAATTTAAGTAATAGATAATTTTTTTTCAGCATTTCTGCTAATACCCAACAGAACTCAAGTCGACACTATGATACCCATTGTCTCTCAATCCTTCAAGAAGCAACCTTCCTCTAGTCACCGTCTACAAAGCAATGCTTTCTTAATGTCACAGACCCTGTGTCCCTCTGGGGCAATGCTGTAACTCAGACATAACGGACAGGATGTGATTGCCATGTTTCACAACTAGAATCACACTTAAATTCCACCAATAAATGCATGGAGAAAACTACCCCTAGAAGACCTTATAAAGTGGTGTGTATGCTCAGAAGTGCTTAACCTTGCCATGACAGCATACCTCATTCTCTAACAAGGCTCTAAAGAAACCTGGAGAAACCCAAGCTATTTGACCAACCACCTACTGAATAGCAGCCAAGAGGACTAACATCAACACAGACAACAAAAAAAGAGTGTGTATTCAAAGCTATAAAGCAGCAGTTCTCCGCTTTTTGACTCCATTGTCCACAACCATATTTAAAGGCCCCATGACTTTTACAGTTGTTTGTGATTTACTGGATTTTAAAGATTTGTTAATATAAAAAAAAAATGTTACATTTCATTTTTTTTTATTTTAGTTTTTTATGTTTAATTTTATTGTTTTAATTATTTAAATGACTTCTCCAGGTCTAGAAATCACACTTTCATAATTTTTCAAATATAATTTTTTCACAGTTTTTTGAGGACCCCTCATTTTGAGAATGACTGCAAAAGCAAGTTTTTCAAAGAGCATTTTTGAGGAAGTTTCAGAAGAGATCTGGATATAGCACACCTTGTCAATCAGCTAAGAAAAGATTTATAAGTTGCAGGTGAAAAGACTGATCATACCTGTCCAGGAATGAGAGGCTCCTTATCATCAATATCAACCAGAACGTCATCTCTAGGGGTGTGAGCAATTGCCTCTGTTGATGGAAATATACCATAAATACTGTAAGCATAAAGTATAATGTTCATCCACCTTGTCAAAGAATGCACTTTTAATAGAACTGAACTATTAATAGAACTAAACGCCAAGAAAATAATTTGATTCTTGCCATTTTTTATTGAATAACAGAACTGTTCTAAATTAGAGCAGGTTACTATATTTTGGGTATACTTTATATAAGCTTGAAATAAATCTACTTTTCTCCAAAATCCTTTTTTCTTCCTGTTTCCTTCTTTCCCTAGGGAGAACCCACACACATTTTCCAACATAAATTGTAAAAAATATTTTTTGATGTTGTAAACAAAAGATTAGTATTTTACTAAGATTAACCATAGTAAAAAGTAATCAATTTAAGATACATTTATTTCATACTAAGTATAGTTCAAATCTATTATTTACTGTTACATCGCTCAAGACTGACTGATATAAAAATTATAATTAAACTTTATTTGGAGTACTACTTGTTTTACAATGCACATTTCTTAATATTTAGCCTAAAATGTGTTTTGATGTCATTATTGATGATGACTGCATGATCTTTGAATACTATCAGTCTTAAAATGCAAGATATTTAAAGTATACCTGAAGTATACTTGCAATAATTCCACTTCAGCACACTCAAATATACTTCAGGATATCTTTATTTGGACTTCAGCACTACTTCCTCACAATTAAAGTGCGTTATGTACAAAATTGTTCCAATTCAGCAGACTAAAAGTACAATTGGAGGGTATTTTTATTAAGTACATAAATAAATGTATTTTTTGTATATTTCAAATACATTTTAGTACATACTATGGACGATTCATACTTTACTAATATTTTAGTCTTTCTACTTAAAATTTCAGATTTACTTCATTGTTACTTGCTTTGTAAATATTTATGAAATGTACTAGTAATTTCTAAGGGAAAACTGTTTCAAAGCCAATTCTTGTCAGTGTATCTGTAGTGTTTATATATAATATATACTTTAAGTGAGTGAGTGACGTGACATGTGACCAAGTATGGTGACCCATACTAGGAATTAGTGCTCTGCATTTATCCCATCCTAAGTGCACACACACAGCAGTGAACACACACACACTGTGAACACACACCCGGAGCAGTGGGCAGCCATTTATGCTGCGGTGCCCGGGGAGCAGTTGGGGGTTCGGTGCCTTGCTCAAGGGTACCTCAGTCATGGTATTGAAGGTGGAGAGAGCGGTGTACATTCACTCCCCCCACCTACAATCCCTGCCGGTACGAGACTCGAACCCGTAACCTTTGGGTTACGAGTCCGACTCGCTAACCATTAGGCCACGACTTCCCCCGTATATATGTTAATATACTTTGATGTTCCCTTATTTCCTCACCAAATTCTTCTTCAGTAGGGTCTCTGTCGAGGCTCTCTGGCTGCCAGCGGAACTCATTCAGCGAGTGGACTGTGCACTGGCCCACTATAGGCTTCCTGCCAAACTGACGGTTGTCTATAACCTTGATCACCAATGGAGGCATGTAGAGCTCTTCCTTGGGCAGTCGCTACAGTGGAGAAGAGATTACGAATAACAAAGATATGAACATAAAGAGATGCAAGGCTTCCAAACCTTTAACTTATAATGTCTTGTTTATTTCTCCATTTCAGTTGTTATTCCACAGAACCTTCCTCTCTCTCCTCTCATACTCGGTAAAAGTATTTCACACCCTAAACTGAGGCAAACATGACACAGGGCTGACCACGACTGACAGTGCAAATAACTTTGCTAGTCATTCAGCATTCTTTCCATGCGATGCCTTCCAGCCTTAGATGAGTATTGGAACGGAATCCAGACTATCTTACGTTTTAGAATTAAGAACTGACGCTCATTGCTAGGGAACATTTTTACTGTGCCAGTCATCACTCGTGAAACATCCACCATGTGAAGGACACCGTGACCACATTGTATATAAGTCTGTCTCAACTGGTTAGCAGCATGCTGTAACACAAAATTTGATATCTTAACTGGATTTCTACATAAAGAATCTACAAGAAATCTGAAGAGGGCTCAGCCAAAGGTCAACTGTATTTATTAACCTTTGATAGTTACAATAGATGCGTTATTTTTGCCTTGATGAATGCCCATAAAAGTTCAATAAAAAAGTTTACCCAAAAATTAGAATTTGCTAACAATTTATTCACCATCAAGTCATCCAAGATGTAGATGAATGTTTCTTCATCAGAACAGATTTGGATAAATCTGGTATTGTGTCACTTTCTCGCCAATGGATCCTCTACAGTGAATGGGTGCCGTCAGAATAAGAGTCCAAACAGCTGATAAAAACATCACAATAACCTACAAGTAATGTAAGTTATCCACAGGCTGCATGTTTATAATAAACAAACCCATCATTAAGATGTTTTTAACTTCAAACATTGTTTCCAGCTAAAGGTCATCTAGCCAACCTCTGATCAGAATATTGTTTTCTACAATGAAAAAGTAATCTCTTCTGAATCAGGAGAGAAATATGAAAAGACCAAGTACTCTTTACAAGCAAAAACAGTTCTAGACAAACATGTCGGTGGATATTGATATGAGGGGACAACAGGAAATTAAATTTTTTTTCACTAAAGAAAGCATTAATATGGATTAAATTAACTGCCATTTTGTCCAGAAGTGATGATTTAAAGTTAAAACACCTAAATGATGGAGTTGTTTTTCACAATCTTGCAGCCTTTCACTTCACAAGACATGAATTGCCGGACTGGAGTCTTGTGCATTACTTGTGGATTATTGTGATACTTTTATCAGCTGTTTGGACTCTCATTCTGACGGCATCCATTCACTGCAGAGGATCTACTGATGAGCAAGTGATGTAATGCTAAATTAAAACAAAAAAACTCATCTACATTCTTGGATGGTCTGAGGGTGAGTAAATGTTCATCAAATTTTCATTTTTGGGTGAACTATTCCTTTAAATCTTACATAATTGTATCTAATCTTACCCTACTTGACCTAATTTTGAACAAAATTATGTACATAAAAACAAACAAAACAAGATCCAGAGCTTACGACATCAATGAACAGGGTGTTGACTTCAAAGTTGGGGTTCTTCTTAGTATTTCGAATGACGCATGACTGAACCACACTTCCTCCACATTCCACCTGAAGACTGGGAGATGTCACACTTTGCAGCCTTTCACTTCACAAGACATGAATTGCCGGACTGGAGTCTTGTGCATTACTTGTGGATTATTGTGATACTTTTATCAGCTGTTTGGACTCTCATTCTGACGGCATCCATTCACTGCAGAGGATCCACTGATGAGCAAGTGATGTAATGCTAAATTAAAACAAAAAAACTCATCTACATTCTTGGATGGTCTGAGGGTGAGTAAATGTTCATCAAATTTTCATTTTTGGGTGAACTATTCCTTTAAATCTTACATAATTGTATCTAATCTTACCCTACTTGACCTAATTTTGAACAAAATTATGTACATAAAAACAAACAAAACAAGATCCAGAGCTTACGACATCAATGAACAGGGTGTTGACTTCAAAGTTGGGGTTCTTCTTAGTATTTCGAATGACGCATGACTGAACCACACTTCCTCCACATTCCACCTGAAGACTGGGAGATGTCACACTGGCCAGCTGGAAACTCTTCAGGTTACGCAAACCCCACGCCAGTATCTAAGAGTTAAAAGGTTAAGTCGCATGTCCTAAAGTAATCATGAATGGTAAAACAGCCATGTAAAATGAATGGTAAAAAAGCGATGTCAGTGCTTTTCGTAAGGTTCAAGTAGTCTATACTGCACTAGAAGCTTTAAACTATAAATGGATAACCCGAGGAAAGGTTTTGGGCCCACCTCAATAGCTGTGCGTTGTAGGACAGGTTTTATCCCCTGCGGCACCATGTAGACATTAGGTTCCCTTTGTGGAGGTGGATATGGCAAATCAGAGTCCTCTGGCTAAGAATGAAGAGCAAAGCATAATATGAGTAAATATAACTTAATAAGGATCAGGCTCATTATTGTTAAATACAACTAAAGCTATAAAAAATAATTTTGTTAATTTTAGAAAAAGCTGAAAGAAAAGAAAATATAAATATTAGATAAAAACTTTGAAATGTTGCCTTGACATGTGAAATAGGCCAACTGAAACAAGTGCAAGTAAAACACTAAAATTGCTGGAAATAAACAAAAATTTATTCAACCGGAAGCAAATAAAAACTAAAAATGAAATAAAAATAAATTCATATTCATTATAACAACAACGAAAGCACATCAAATTATAAAAAAGTAAACTAAAACTAAAATGAAAACTGAAAATACAAAAATAAAAGCGAATTCAAATATTATTAAAAAGTATAAAAGTACGTAAAATAACATTGATATGGATATTCTCCATTTAACTATATACAATAAGCAAGCAAAGATGGCTGAAAATGCATTCACAGTTTCAAAAACCATACAAAATGCTATCTTCACAAAATTGAAGGAGACATGTAGTGCGTTTAGAGGACTCAGCTTCACAAGCACTATGTTTCCATTCTTCTCTATAAGTACATTTGCATGACGCACCCAAATTCGAAAATGGGTGTGAAAACAAACAAGGAATTGGTTACTAATAGCAGCTACAAAAAGTCAAACATCATGACTTCACATGCCAATCAAAGTTAGCAATCAAGCCGCAACACACACACACACACACACACACACATAAGGATTAGCCAGGACGGTGTTGTGCCAGTGCAATTGTTTGATGAATGGTACTACTGTTGAATACAATGGTGCTCTGTGCAAAGGGACCTTCGGAGATACGCTTCAGTCATGGAGAATTAGACTATGTAATGACTAACTTCATTAAGTTAAGGCAAGGATTTGAAAGAACGTCATTAAAACAGACACACCTTCAAGGAAGCATGGCTAATCTACTTGATAAATGAGAACATTTCCCGACAATTATACAAACTCAGTACTCAACATGCTCAAGTCTTCAGATACAAACAAATCATTTTGGAAAGGCCACTGTATTCAAAGGTCAAAGAGAATTAATCAGATCATATATATATATATTGCATTTACATTTACATACTGTATATGCATTTGGCAAATACTTTTATCCAAAGCTACTTACTGTACATTGCATTCAAGCTATATAATTAATCAGTTTATGTATTCCCTAGGAATCAAACCTATATGACCCTGGTGCTGCTAGCACTAGTCTCTATTTTGGGAATTTAAAAAAATATATAATAATAATATTGACAAATTGGTACCACATTTCTCCTATTTTCCCACTGTAACAATTATATGACCAATAAGTAATGGGAACATATGTTTTTCCAATCTTTTAACTCAAATCAAATTAATTCAAACAATTTTAACTTTATTTTTTAAGTTATATATTATTCAACTAAATTTTTTGAGTCAGTTGAATGTAATTTCAATTGAACTTACTTGTTTTTTTAGATTACATGTGCTGTCATCTAACACTCACTTAAGGTTAATTTCTAATAATTTAATAACACTGTTCATTGTAAAATTGTATATTTACAGTGAATATTCTTTTTTCATAATGTACATTATAATGCTTTGATGCCTAAAATCACTTGTAGCATTTAAATTGATTTTATTTTTTAGAGTTTGGCTTTTAATTTTAGTCAAGTCAAGTCAAGTCACCTTTATTTAAATAACACTTTATACAATACATATGTATACATTTACAGTTAATGCCAGTTCATTGTTGATTCAGTTGAGTTTAATAACTGTGTAAAGTTTATCAATTAGGGAATAAGTTCAAATGGTTTATAAAGGAACTCTAGAGTAAAAAGTGATGTCATCATCCAGCCCACTTCAGTTCTCATCCAATAGTGTCTGTGCATTTAAGTCCATAATATTGCCAAATATTCTGTTTTATTATTTTAAAATACTATACACAGTAATATTATTGTATTATTGGTCATTTAATATCAGTGCATCCCTAGATCTTAATGATATCATGCTGCTATTTCCAGCAAAACAAAGACAGTAATGTGGAATACAGAGGAAAAAGGAAAGTGCAAGACGATGAACCATGCATTGCCAATGTTTCCCTTTACTATTGGCGACTTGCAAATGTTTACGTCCCTAGTGTGTTTGTATCTAATGAAGAGCAGCTATTATGCAGTCGAATAGCAGCATGTTAGTTCCACCATTAGTCTATCACTGTGTCTTTTTGAAACGCCACTGCAGAACAATACAAATCTTTGTGCAGATGAAGCGGAATCCAGTAGATAGGAAAGCTGGGAATACAGCCGGATCAGAAAGGCCTCTTAATTTCCAAGCCGTCTCCCACAAGATCTTGTCCTTGGCAGGCCTCATAAAAACCAAGGAGGTGCGTAGAAGTACACAGAGTTCTGGAGGAATCTACCCACCAGCGATAAAACAAACGTCTAGATCTCAACACTCCATACCCACGGCCTAATGAAAACCAGTGGGAATGACATGTTGGAGCTTTAACTATACTGGTTCCAGCTCAGTATCTTTCACATTATAGGCCGCTATAAATGTCTGAATGACTTAATCATTAGCTCTGGTTTAACATGGTGGAACCACATGTCCTGTGTTTTTTTTTTCATTGTGTTTAATCAACTAAATACAGTGAAATGTGTTTGTGTATGTGCATGCATGCTGAATTGTACCCATTGCTGTTGATTGTCAGAGAGGAACCCTGGAAGCACAAGCTTGAAGATGCCCAAAATAAACAGAGAGGGAAAAATGAACGAGAGAACAGGAAAGAGATGCTCTGGAACAACAGCAAATAAGATCCATTGTCTATTCACAGAATCCTCCAGCAGCACTTACCTCATCCATGATATGTGAGGGTGGAATAATATCACCCTGCAGAAAAAAAAAAGATTTTTAAAATCAAATAAATAAAGTGTTACAGTGCGGGCATTTGTTTGAGTGTGCGTGGGTGGGTGGTTTGACTGTTCTCTAAGGGTTCACTTTAATTCAATTTCCCTGTGATTATCCCACTCTAACTGATGCCAGCTGGACAGGTCTGGACTGGGTGGGGCCTCTGGCACTTTTAAACTCCACTGGCATCTCCAATCAGTCTCCTGGCTGTCTGCATTGCCCAGACAGGGCTAGTGAAACTGGTTCAGATACAGTGATGTTTATGTCATTTACAGCAGCTCTATCCAATTACTCAGTCGTGCTTGACTGAGAGAACAGGGAGTGACGATGACTTGGAGGACAGGAAGTGTGTGTCTGTGCATTTTTTAAAGAAAGCAAAGGAAAAAAGGGAAAAAAAGATGGGCAACTTAAAGACATATGACTAACCTCTTGACCGGGGATGTGATGAACTGCAGGCTGTGAAGAAAGAATGAAGAGCAACGACTAAATTATTTCGTACTGTAAAAACTGAGAGCAGTTTTGCATTTTAAATCATATGTTGTCAGGCGCTATGCATACAAATACAACTGAGTGGGTGAAGGAGCCACTAAACTTCCTCTGCGGTGCTGGAGAAGCTGTGATATGTGCCATGTAAACACTTGTGGGTTAAACTCATAACAAAAGCATTTCTTTCAACAGAGATGCTGCACACAACAGCTGGGCTAGATGTGACTAAAAGACGCAAAGAATCCTACAGAATCATCACTGAGGTGATCTTAATTACTTTCATAGCCTTAATTATGGCATGTGTCATTCACATGGAGACTGAAAATTGGAAAATTAATTAAGGCCACAGATGCCAGTTACAATATCACAAGTGATATAATGTCTATGAGGATGATAATTCATATACAGTAACTCTTACTTTATCTCTGCGGATCAGTTCGAAAGCAGCAAGCAGTTGTCCAGCAGGTTTCCCAGCTTTCTGGATGGGATACCAGGCAAGGCGAGGGGAAGACACCATTGATGGTTGGCAAACACAGCGGCCCATAAACTCATCAGCGCCCTGCAGGGGTCAAATAACTTATCAGGCATTTTCTGTTTCACAGATATGAAACGAAACCTATCTGACATCAGCCCAAGCTTCAGACAGCATGTCATTCAGAGTTTTGAGACATTTAGTAGCATGCAAACTTGATATTTATAATTGTCTTAGCTTTCTGTCTGTAAATAATCATTTATCACTGTCACTACTACTTTACTTGACTTTATTTCTCTTCTTTTTTTAAATTAAGGTTTCCCATATTAGTCTACTACTGTGGCGCCAGGAATTTTAAAATTAACCTGTACTTAAATGGCACATACAAACCAAAATAAGTAGTCATAATGCCTAATATATTGTTTGTAGCCTTGCCTATACATAAAACATGTGTTTAATTAATGCAAAAAGCAAGATAGCTGGACCAGCCTTTTTTTCAGTGATTTTATTTTAAGACAGGATTATTTTAGTAGTATTTACAATTTTATTTATATATTTATTTATTTATTTATAAGTTTTTAGTTTTCATTTTAGTTTATGTTTTAGTAATTTGTTCTACGGTTTTGTTTTTGTTTTTAATATTAATATTTAGCATTATTTTTTAAATCAGTTCTAGTTTCCGTAATGTTAGTACTTTAGTTCTGGCAGGACCACTATCGTCAAAGATGACTGACAATTAGCATACAGTTTGGATTGGCAGTATGGTTCTGTTCTGGGCAAGAACTCCCTGCGCATCCATGCAGCCTAGCAGGGTAAACAGAACAAAACCAACATAAATGTATTGCAGATATCATAAAAGTTCAATAATTTCATGTAACATTTTAGAAATTAGTCTGATTCAAAGGAGAATCAGAAGGCCGAATCCCGACTGTCGAGAGGTGGAGTTGGGGATGGAGAAGGGTAATTAGCTATTGAGCAACGCGAAAGCTGGTGATAATACTGAAGGATCTTAAATATGGGTGTTGTGATAGGTGTCTCATTCCTATTGGTAGATGTGGATCAGCTAGTCAGCTGATGCAAGCTTGACTAACGTGACCTGCCAGAACTAATACTACGCTTGATTTTAAACATTTTATTTCAGTTTGTTGCCAAGGCGACATTTCTCCTTTCTAAGTTATGTTTTTCAAGTTTTCTATATTTTATTTTATTTTATTTTTTGCCTTATTTCAATTAATGAAAATTAATAATTAATCATTTTAGTTAACAATAACAACACTGGTTTAAGAAGTGCAATATATAATACCACCATTGTCTGACTTTAATCGTTTAATTTTAAATAAGTTACTTAAACATAATTTTGTCAAACAATTACACAGACTTCAGTCTTTCCTCATTCAAATAGATATGAACTGTACTTGCATGGTGTTATGAATAAGACTGAGCGAACGGACTTTGATATTGGTAAGATAATTCTGCCTGACAAAATTAGTGGTTCTTGACCTGATCAAACTGTAAATTGGACAAGACTTCATTTCGCTGGTCGAAAGTCTAATTAATCTGACAATAAACACACCCATTTATAAAATACCACATACCAACACAATGAAAACTCACATAGGTGTCCTGATCGTATAGTTCCACCACAATGTGCGGAGGGTTCCTCTCAGTCACAAGATGGTCTCCAAATATTTCAACTTCATAAAAGATGAGAGTCTGGTCCCAGGTGGGATTGAGCGTGTTCCGAACAGTCACCGTCTTCTGGCTCTGATGCAGGAAGGACACGATGGCATAGGGATCTAATCAAAGAGTCAAAGATCAATGAACTGCATCACATTTTCACGTCAGAATAAGTGATGAAGTATGGCAAGAGTTGCAAGTACACATCAAGGGGAATAGCATGTGTAATGTGCATTTGTATACTGTCAAAAACGTGATCTAAACTGTCAACTGAAACGAGAAAGGCTTCGTCAGGTCAAATGGAGGTTATTGCCACATAGATGGATAAATGAAATGGAAAGAACTGCATCAGGAGTTAGGAAAGATGTGCAGCCATCAACTCATTGAAGTCTGTTTGCCATCAAGATTGAGGCAGGGATTTGGTACATTCTCCTCAGAACAAGACTTTCAATGCATCAGTAAACACAATAAACACAAGCATTTCTGTTTTTATTTGGTTCTGTAATGAGGGTGAATTTGCCAAGAATATAACATCAATAATGGAAGTGAAAAGAAACAGAGATACCCTGAGTTATGGCGTAGGGAGGGTGAGAGCAATTTTTTTTACTTTAGTAGGTCTATGTAATGTCTGAAAGATGATGTGTGGTTGTGAGACAGAGAAATGGGGGAAAAGATGAGTGAGTTAGCCAATGCATGTGCATGTGTGAGTGTTTATGTATTTAAGTGAGGGTTTTAAAGAGATAGTTCACCCAAAAATGAAAATTCTGTCATTGCCATTCCAAATCTGGACGTAATAAAATATAAAAAAATATAAAGAATGTGCGTGCTTCTCTTCTATAAAATTATAAAAGTTGATTTAAGCTGATGCCATTTAACACCATTTAACCATCATAAAATTTGTCCATGTGCTGCATTCCAAGTCATACACCACAACTGTGTGAAGTATAGACTGAAATTTAAGATGTTATTGTAGCTCTTAAATTAAACTTTTTCGTGACTATCTAAAGAAGCCAAATTTGAATGCAAGCACAAACTCACATTCAAAACGTGAATTTGAACAAAAGTTTTAATATGACTTCAGAACACTAGGAACAAGTCATTCAGATTATGTTTTTGTCCTTTTTAGACATATGAACTGTCACTGAAAATTGGAATGTGTACATTCTTCCAAATCTCTCTGCAAGTAATAACAGCATATGAGATTTTAAGAGTAAATAATGGCAGACTTTTTATTTTTGATAAACTATTCCTTTAAAAGACACAACATCCAAACATTTAAATAAACATGCACTTAAGGTGCTGAAAAATAAGTGACATCAACTACTTAGGAATGCCAGAAATTGGAGCGACAGTCAAAGTTTATTATTTCAGTCGACATAAAGCAGCCTCAGAGGGATAGTTTCACTTGGGAGGGAGAAACAGACACTTTTCCCAGCTCTTATTAAACTAGCTTACTTACACACACACACACAACTTCCTACTTCCCACAAACACAGTGGCTCAAATAAACAAAGGGATAAACAAGCTATGGGGAGCGTGCACTGTTACCCAGGAGCCAATGGGAAATAAACACAGGCAGTGTCTAATCTGGCTGCTTACAGTGAACAGTAAATAAACTGTCTTCCCCAAGGGCATTGTGGGACTGGACATGTCGACGGCTGCCCACGTGTGCGACTCAAACATGATGCATGACCCTCGGGAACAATGACATGCTCAAAGTAAACAAGGAAAGGCAACCAAGAAATTTGGCTATGGATCATTTCCCATATATCAATACTATAAAGGGTTTAACTGTTCAAAAATCATATTCAAATGCGCATATTCGAAATGTCCAGTGAATGACAGAAAGACAGAGAGATGATAGACTGAGTGACTGACTGACTGACTGACTGACTGACGATAGATAGATAGATAGATAGATAGATAGATAGATAGATAGATAGATCTGACTTTAGCACAGAGGGGCCTACAGCCATGTAGCATCTGGCTCAAACTTCTGACTTCCTCTAATCCCCCTCCAGTAGCCAAAGCACTGATGCAGCTCTACATTTTTCCCTCCTTTATAAATATTGCGGTCCATCGATCATTTCCCTTTACCAAACTCCGTCTCAAGCGCACCAAGGACAAGTGATTTCTGCCTCCAGCTTGATTTATTCATTTTCCTGGGAGCTCAGAACCCTGTAAAAGATATAGATAGATAGATAGATAGATAGATCTGACTTTAGCACAGAGGGGCCTACAGCCATGTAGCATCTGGCTCAAACTTCTGACTTCCTCTAATCCCCCTCCAGTAGCCAAAGCACTGATGCAGCTCTACATTTTTCCCTCCTTTATAAATATTGCGGTCCATCGATCATTTCCCTTTACCAAACTCCGTCTCAAGCGCACCAAGGACAAGTGATTTCTGCCTCCAGCTTGATTTATTCATTTTCCTGGGAGCTCAGAACCCTGTAAAAGATCTAGGCTGGGTTTTGTGCATCAGGAGACCGACCCAAAACTATTTGTAGATTTGTAATCAGAGCGCCAGACTGGCCTGATTTATACCAGGCCTGTATTTTTAAAAGGATCCTCAATGTTTTCTCATCTGTGCTTGCGGGTTCAGAATGAACCTTAAACGCATAGGGTAGCTACATTTCCAAGATTTTGCAAAAAACAAAAAAACAATATACTTCAGATCTTTCTCCACCTTAATGTCCTTTTTTTCTTAGTTTTCATCCTTGTCTGCTTTGTTTCCATTTTTAGACTATGGTTTTTCCATTCATAGGAGATTTATACCAGACATTTCTAATGGGTGATAACCAGCGGGCTTATTTTGCCTGCATTTTAATGATGTGGAGCACTCTGGGTTAAAAAAAAATTTCACTACCACAACTTAGAGCTTTAGACCATGGCAACAGACTCGCTATGGTTTAAAGGGGGTGAAATACTGCTCCAGCGTTGCCAAGAAAGCTCTTTTATATTTGACTTTTTAAGTGACTGTTTTTTTTTGCCAACATCAATAATCAGTGTCACATTTTGAATGAAAACTCACTTCATGTTTATTAATAGGTAATATAAGGTAATAACAAGGCCCACACGGAATCTGCACATTTATGAGGGGAATTCTGTGGAATGGATTTAAATATGGTAAAAATGGCTTAAACAGAGCCGAGAGCACTGAAATCCATTTATGAATAACTCTTTCAAATTATAATTCTAAAAAGAAAAAAACAATAAACACACAAATGGCAAGGTGGTGTAAAACTTTGGAAATTACAAATTTTGTGGATCTGCGAAGCTTTCTGTAGAATTCTGTGGGCCCAGATTCCATTTGGGGCAACAATTCCACAATATTCATTACACAACTATACAATAAAACATTATCCGTCTTTCTTTCTTTCTTTTCCCATATATCATTACTATGTTAAAATTCATTGTTAAAATATAATTTGCATATGTAAAAAATTGTATTGGAATTTTTGTGTCAATGTAGAAAACCTAATAAAGAGAATGTTTAAAAAAACATTATCTGGACACAGTGGGTGGGGGTTTTGTCTTAAAGAGTTAGAGTAAGCATTTTTTTTTTACTTTTATAGCCAATAAACAGAAATAACACATGATTATGAAGAATACAGAAGAACTTTTGCTACTAGCGACAACTGTAAAACCAGAGGTTTCACCTGATGTGTGTGTTTAGACAGTTTACATCAGCATCTTCTGCTCTAACATCAATCCCACAGTTAAATACCATCCTTTGACCCGACAAATGTCACATGTGCATCTACAATAAAAAATACACACAGTGCACATGCTTTATGTGCACTTGTTTTGATACTTTCCAAGGACACGAGTCATGGAAGCAAAAAAGGAACTAGTGCCAGTAAATCAAAAAGAAAAATGGCAGAGTACAGCAACAAATTCAGCATATAATGTCTCATTTTGATTAGCCTTTTTCAGTGCTTTTCACTTTTTAAAGTTCAGAAAGTTAGGCAGAGAGAGCAGGGTAATGGGATATGTTGCAAGCTAGATTCAAACTTGCCTCGCCCATGAGTGCACCGGCATCAGAGCTCATGAATTAACCACTAGTCCATGGCTCCGACTTGATTTGTTTTACTCTATGTACCTTCTCTTCTCTATGCAAATGACATTTTTTACATCTTCACTGCCAACATCTTCTCTCATGGACACCATTGTAAATCTACTTCATTTCGTTTCTCTCTGGGCTACACTTGACCCGAACTGCCTCGGGCTAGTCTGTGCCAGGCACAATATTTCACCCCCTCTGACGTAAGCTCAGTTACGGTTCCTCTACCATTATATCTCAAAACCTCACTTTTATGATTTTGTTATTTATAAAATGCTCCCATTATTCTAGGCAATACTGACCATTTTTTTAGAGATAAATTCGTAAAATCGTAATTCTGTCGTGTACGCTATCGCTCTCAATATGCTTCACATTAGGACTATCCATTGACCTCAATTTGTGTCACCACATGACCTGGAAATATGTAACTTATTGTATGGCAAAATAAGAGCACACTTCATGCCATGTGGTATCATAGTAAATGTCTTAAAAAGCTGATTTTGCCGATGCCTGCTGTGTGTCTGAATGTGTGCTAGTACTGTGTTCAAAAGGGTATGTTACTCAGATCCCATGCAAATAACCACAAGATCAAGACATGTAGATTCTGGCTAAATAAATGCAGCTGCTTTACAAAATAAATGACTGGTGCATATATTTCTTGGTACTATGCATAGCTTTGATCAGATTTTAAGCAACAAAACTGAGTAGCCTACACTGCTTTTGTTTATTGTTTAGGTTTTGACCTTGGAAAACCTGTTTTACAACTGGGTTGGTCATAATTCAGAATTGAAAAAATGGCTTCAGTTTCATTTCTTAATATCGCCTTTTGTATTTAATTTTTTAGCAAAAAGCTGAAATATACACTACCCTTTAACAGTTTGAGGTTGTTATAATTACATTTAAAAATATATTAAAATACAAAACATCTGAACATTAAAAGTTAACAATATTACTGTTTTTAAATGTATTTCTTATACAAATAAATGCAGCTTTGGTGAGCATTTCAAAAGGATAAAAAATCGGACAGATCCCTAACGTTTAATCGGTGTATTCATGTATATAAAATAATAGTAACAATAAAATAACATTTAAAAATGTAAAATATATTTCATTGGATTGCATTAAAAAAAAAGAATTCTTCATTCAATTTTGAACTATACACAACCCTTCAAATATCTGTAATAATTAAGTTTGGCTCACAGTGAAGGTGGTATATGCTCACCTGAGAAACTGTCCTTATCCATTGCCAGCAGGTCTCTGGCCTGATACAAATAACATCGCAAATGATACAGGGTCCCATCTAAAGAATCAAGAGGATGAACATCAGTGTAGTTTCAGCCATCATTTAAATCTGTCATTATTTTAAATGAAGTGAGAAAACTGTCATGTTTGACTCACTATCGAAGAAGCAGGAGATTGTCGGGCGGTTGACACCAAAGGTTGTTGTAACTGACTTATCGTCATTCTTTTCATCAGTAACACTGCTCTGTTGACAAAAAAGGAAAAACACTGTGAGACACATTATGCTCCTTCAACCTAAACAGTAGATTCACACATTTGGAGATGGGAAAAGATGGGGCATTCATGTTGGATCAGATATCACAATATTCCGACCAAAAGGATAAACGGAGTATGTGCTAATGATGACTCTGCTGTCAGTTGTGGAAAGGGCAACTGTATATGCACCACAAACCACTGGCATGAAGTGATTACATGTCACCGCCCCAAGACACTCGAATATCATTTTGACACATACAAAATTCTGACCTTCTCTGAATAAAATGCCTGATTATGTCTCTTAACCAGAGTGAAACTGCTATGTCATTTGTGGCTCACTTTATTTACATAACCCAATACCCTTGTACTGTATGGTTTTGAAGAAAAAAAGAATAGAAAAACACCCTCCAAAGTGCCCTCTGAAACAAGAACAGAATTTGAAATGTAATTCCAATGAGTAGCTGTGTAGTGCTACCAAACGCTGAATCGCTATATTAAATGTCACATTATTTGCGCACGCAGCTTATAGCACCAAGCAAACTGAGGTATAATAAAGTCAGCTTTTTGATCTCTCCTATGTAGCAGTGAAAAGGCTGACTTATTTTGGTGAATTGGTTCGCTCTCTATCTCATATGTAGCAGTGGAAATTCTGATTCATTCTGAATCAGTTTGTCTTAACGCTCTATCTCATATCTAGCAGTGGAAATCTAATTCATTCTAGTGAATCGACTAATCCTAAATGCTCTCTCTCATAGGTAGAGGTGGAAAGTAAGATTTTTTCTATTGAATCGGGTTGTCTTAAACTGCTCACTATCTCATATGTAGCAGTGAAAAGTCTGATTCATTCTAGTGAATCAATTCATTCTAAATGGCTCTCCCTCCTATGTAGATTTGCCAAATCTGATTCATTTTAGTGAATAATTTGTCTTAAACTGCACTATCGCTCACATGTAGCATTGGAAAGTCTGATTCATTTTAATGAAACAATTCATGCTAAAGAGTTCTCTCTTGTATTAAGCAGTGTAAAGTCTGAAAAGTCTTTCTATTGAATAGTTTCATCTTAAACTGCTCATATATAGCTGTGAAAAGTCTGATTCATTCTAATGAATCAATTCATTATAAATGGCCCTCCTTCATATGTAGATTTGCAGATTCATTTTAGTGAATCATTTGTCCTTAACTGCACTCTATCTCTCAGGTGTAGCATTGGAAAGTCTGATTCATTCTAGTGAATCAATTCATTATAAATGTCCCTCCTTCATATGTAGATTTGCTGATTCATTTTAGTGAATCATTTGTCTTAAACTGCACTCTATCTCTCATGTGTAGCATTGGAAAAGTCTGATTCATTTTAGCTAAACAATTCAAGCTAAACAGCTCTCTCTTATATTAAGCAGTGAAAAGTCTGATTCATTCAAGTGAATTGGTTGGTCCTAAACAACTCTCTCATGTGCAACATTGAAAGGTCTGATTCATTCTAGTCCGATTCTGATTCAATCAGTTTGTCCCAAACTACTCTCTCTCGCTCTCTCGCTCTCTCGCTCTCATACAGTAGCTGAGTAGAAAGACGGGAGGTGACTAGACAAATGTTTTTAAATCTGTGCTTGAAGAGTGCCACCATGAGGACAACTGATTTAACTCACAGTGACCCTAAAAAATATACAGGCACTTAAAAATATACCGTATGATACTGCATTAATCAAATATCTAAGTTGTATAATTATTGCTATTATATATTTTTTTAAACTACTCTTTTCAAGCAAAACATTCTACAAAAAAAGTTATTAAATTATAAAATGATAGATTGATAGATGCTTGAAATTAGGACAAAACTGCCTAAAATTAGGATAAAGACCCAGTGTTAATGTGAACACGAGTCAAAATTGCAGCATTCTGGGAAAATGTCTAGCATCCTTGTCATTTGGTTTAATAATAATTTCACTGCATAAACAATGTTCACTACTGTTTAAAAATGTAGGGTCAGTACTTTTTTCTGTTAAGCAAGGGTACATTATATATTGATTAAAATTGATAGTAAAGATATTTACAATCTCAACAAGAGATATTTCTTGAGCAACAGATATTGGAATGATTTCTGAAGGATCATGTGACCTTTGCCATTACAGGAATACATTTTTTAATATATTTTTAAAAGAATACAGTTATTTTAAATTGTAATAATATTTCACAACATTACTGTTTTATTAAAAAGATTTAAAAATCTTACTGACGCCACACTTTGAATAGTAGTGTATTAATATATTTTTATCCATTATTTGGTTGCTCAAATACTTCATTTTTAATAAGTAAATAATGTAATCTAAACCACCTTTTGTACCCAAACCACTCTCTCACACATTTTTTCCTTAGTTCTTTACTCACTTTTAGTAGTCCTACTTGTTTCTTGCACAGAACCGAATATAAACACACTGAGCCTCATTCATGCAACAAATTGGTGTGTAAATCATTCGTAAACCCATTCTTATGTAAACTTTCTCATTGAATTGAAAGTGACATTTCATGTAAGAATGGATTTACGAATGGTTTAACACAACATTTCTTCCGCCCGTGTTTCATGAATGAGGCCCAGTGCCATTCTCTCTGACTCCAGAAAGCTAATATGTTAATGTTCTTCAGTCTAACAAGTGATCTCAAAAATTGATTTTTAGATGTTTATTAACAAAGTGTTTTTTTGCTTATTGGATAAAGACTTTCACAGAATGAAACAAAAACTCTTTATCTCTCTTTCTCTCTCTCTCTCTCTCTCTCTCTCTGTTACACACCCTCACACAGATGATGAACATTAGGCATATTTGCGGCAGGACTTTATAGTTGGACCCAGGTTTTCCTGCCAAGTGGATTAGAGGTGTGGGATTGAGTTCAGATTATTCTCAGATGGCATGATTAATTAGGTGTCCTCTCAAGCTCCATCTGCCTCTCACCAGATGCGTTCAGGGACGGGGAAGACCTCCTGAGACTACACAGAGCTCTTTATGTCACGCCACCCTGAGCTTTACCAGAATCCCCCACCATTCAAAGAGAAAACGAAGCCAAGATTCTTCTTTTGTTTATCGCTCTCAATCTGAAACTTTGTTATTTCTCTGACTGAAAACAAACACTTGGCTAATGACTGATGATGTACTTTTCTGAGTGCCTCCATTTTCTGCATATCTCTACGCCGAAGTCGGATCCAACGTCTCCGGCGGTTGGTGTGGTACATCTTCTCGGATGGAACCCAGGACTTTGGCCGGCGGTCTGGGGGGAGGGTTATTCCATATTCCCACCCTACAGGTAGAAAAGGATTTATTGTAAAGGCACAATATATTCAAAATAACGAAGCTCATAAGTCAGTGGCGCATGTGTGTGCAGGAAAGACTTCTCAAGGTTTCCATACCTTGATCATCCACTGCACGCTTCAGGTCCTCGCTCCACTCAATATCCTCCCACACCCAGCCGGGGGGACACTCAATCTCATCTTTAGGCACGGCTTTTTCTCCATTCTGCCCCCCAGTGGACACATAAAGAACAAAAAGGTCAGTTCCTGCCAACTGATTTTAATGTAGAACATATTAGTCCACTTTTTAAAGTATTTTTGAAATACCCTTTGACTTAAAGGGATAGTTCACCCAAAAAGGAAAATTAGATTTTTATCTGCTTACCCCCAGGGCAAGATGTAGGTGACTTTGTTTCTTCAGTAGAACACAAATAAAGATTTTTAACTCAAACCGTTGCAGTCTGTCAGTCTTATAATGGAAGTGAATGGGAATCACGGCTTTGAGAGTCAAAAAAAACATACACAAACAAAACCAAATTAAACCCTGCGGCTCGTGATGATACATTGATGTGTAAAGACACGAAACGATCGGTCTGTGCAAGAAGCTGAACAGTATTTATATAATTTTTTACCTCTGATGCACTGCAATGTCTGAACTGTCCTGAGCGCGTTCTCGACAGCCGGCGCGTGACGCGTCTTCTTCTTCTTGCTTTACGGCGGATCGCATACTTATAAGCGCATTACCGCCACCTATCTCTCAAATGGACCATTAACACTCTATCTGCAATCTCAATTAGGAGTGTCAATGGTCCATTTGAGAGATAGGTGGCGGTAATGCACTTATAAGTCTGCAATGCCGTGATTCCCATTCACTTCCATTATAAGACTGACAGACTGCAATGGTTTGAGTTAAAAATCTTTGTTTGTGTTCTACTGAAGAACCTGTAGTAGAACTACTGAAGTTCTACAAAGTCACCTACATCTTGGATGCCCTAGGGGTAAGCAGATAAACATCAAATTTTCATTTTTGGGTCAACTATCCCTTTAATACTCCTCTGCGGCTCATGAATAACACTATGAACTAAAGGTACAGTTTTGTTATGATACAACCACACACTGACCACATCTGTGAACCCCTCTGGCATGCCAATCCACTGTCCTCCTGGCAAACGCATCTGATTTTCAAACACCTCTTCCAAAAAGCTTATATGACCAGCATCAGTGTCATACAGCAATCTGGCCATCATGGGCATAAATACAAATCCATGTTATGCAGATTCAAAGGGTGTTTAATGATGCTGATATCACAGATAATGATAAGATGGTACTCACGTTTTCTCTGGGCTGACGTACCAGTCTCCCGCCCAGCTCCATCCTGGAGTGGGTTTGAAGCTCTCCTTTGGGAGTTTGATTCTGCCAGTCACGTCACTGAACTTGGGGTATGTCAAACCCGTCGTACCCCAGTTCCCCACCAGAGCCAATTTAGTCTGGTTTTCATACTGTAGATCAAAATAAAATCCCAGTAGGAATTTGAAAAAAGTATATCTCACCAAGGCTGCATTGATTTGAAAATACAGTGAAATAGTAATATTATTACAATTTAAAATACTTGTTTTCTGTTTTTCTGTTTTAAAATGTAATTTAGAAGGCATCATCAATGTCACATGATCCTTGGGAAATTATTCTAATATGCTGATTTGTTGCTTAAAAAACATTTCTTACTATTATCAATGTTGTAAATAGTTCTGCTGCTTAATATTTTTGTGGAAACTGTGATATTATGATTGTGTGAAATTTACTTTTAAGAGATATTATTTAGCAAAGGTCCACAGGGCAAAAGTGCCCATAGGTGAAGAAAAAAAAAATTATAATATTTAATTAATTTGTTAAAGTTGCATGTGGGTAGCTGCTCACTCACCGTTTCTGCAAACACAGAGAGTTTGCCCTCGGCAAACTGGTTAAAGGATTTGACATCAGCAGTCAGTCCGAACCACACCTTGACCCTGAGCTGAGCTGGGATCTTACTATATCCCCCGTCTTCTTGAGGATACTGAGCACAAATTACACACAGAGATAGAGAGATTTATCAGCGCCCCTATGTTTCCATTCATCATTTGTACTGTAGCATTAGTATGTGCTTTGCCTGTGTTTACCTTCATGAAAACCGTCTGAAGTTGACCACAGTGCTTTCCACAGTAACCGTGGGAAAAGAGAATTTGATGGGCAGGGATTCTGTGGTAGGCCACTCGTCTGTCTCCCTGAAGCATCCAGATTATTATATCTGGCAGACTGTTCTGGGGCTGAAAGAAAGAAAAAAAACCGTTTTTTTTTTATTTATGGAGTTACTATTTGAACCAGGAGTAAGTAGCACTTAATAATTTATAGGCCCTCTTTACACCTGGTATAAAAATACTGTTTTGCCAATCCAATCACAAGTGAACAACACTAAATACAATTGTAAATGGGATCTAAAATGTTTTGATCATTATTGACCACCAGAAGCAGGCAAAAGATGCTCATAGATGCTCATTAGATGCTCATGTGGTCGAATGTGTTCAACAGCCACAAAAGACCGCTGCCTATTGACCTAACAGTAACCACAACTTGGAGTTGTGATTGATGATAAGCTGAATTTCTCAGACCACACTGCTAAAACTGCCCGGTCCTGCAGATTTGCTTTATACAATATTAGGAAGATCAGGCCCTTTCTTTCAGAACATGCAACACAACTCCTTGTTCAAGCTCTTGTTCTGTCCAGGCTGGACTATTGCAATGCTCTCTTGGCAGGTCTTCCAGCCACTTTTATCAAACCTCTACAATTAATCCAAAATGCTGCTGCAAGATTAATCTTTAATGAGCCGAAAAGAACACACGTCACACCTCTGTTCATCAATTTGCACTGACTACCAGTAGCTGCTCGCATTAAATTCAAGGCATTAATGTTTGCCAACAAAACCAGCACCCATTTACCTAAATTCATTACTTCAGAGTTATGTGCCCTCTAGAAGCATGCATTCTGCAAGTGAACGGCGTATTATTGTGCCATCTAAAAGAGGCACAAAATCACTTTCACAGACTTTTTCATTAACTGTTCCCTCCTGGTGGAATGACCTGCCCAACTCAATCCGAGTCCTTAGCCATCTTCAAGAAACGACTAAAACACATCTGTTCCACCTTTATTTGACCCTCTAACTCTAGCACTTTATATTATATTTTAATTCTACTTCATCTATATTTATCTTTTTTTATTTTTTATTCTTTGTTTTAAAAAAACAACAAAAAACAAACACTAGCTTTCTATTTTTTCTATTCTATCTACTTGTTTTTCTTTGTTTGTGTGTGTGTGTGTGTATGTGTGCATAATATATATATATATATATATATATATATATATATATATATACCTTGCTACGTGTACAGACTAAATGTAAATGTAACCAAACAGTTGATGATAGCCATAGTATGAACAAAAAACTATGGAGGTCAAAGGTTACCGTCAGCTGTTTGTTTACATTCTTCAAAATATCTTGTTCTGTGTTCAACAGAAGAAATAAAAAAAAACTTGAAAGTGAGCAAATGACAGAATTTTCTTTTTTTGGTGAACTATCCCTTTAAACACCAGGTGTAAATCAATCTTGGCTGACCACTTGTGATTTGATCAATGAAAACGCATCTCTATACCAGGTGGAAACAGCACTTCAGATATTAAGGCCACATCTCTTTCACCTCCTCAGACAGGTGGCGTAGTCTCTGGGTCCAGTCCTCCGCCTGCTCCAGCACTGCATTCAGCTCGGTCTCTGGTCCGTGTTTGAGCGCCAGTGCCGTCTGCACTATCTGCTGCATGTTAATCTTACGCAGATTCCTCAGGGCTTTATCCAGCGCAGTCACACAGGGCCATTTATCCAACTCGGGGAGCTCCTCACTACAGCACATACACACACAAGAGTGCTTTAGTTTTTTATGGTGAATGCGATACAACTTCACAAAACACTAGAGCACATCTGCACCTGCAGTCGGCAATGACATCATCAAGCAGCTGGATGACCTTCTGCTCCACTTCCTGCTCGTCACTGCTTGCTTTGAGCGTCAGCTGTACCTGCTCCAGGTTTGATTCCTATTATGAACAGTGAAAACCAATATTTGTTTACAGTTATGACTGATTGTGCTTTGATATATTTTGATGTGTTGATTGGAGCCGTATCTTAGATGTTTCTGTTTCTCACCAATCGGTCGACTATGCTGAGCAGCATGTTTAGGGCCTCTATGCGAGGGCCGACATCCTCCCACTCTGAAGACAAGACCACCACAGGTTCCACATTTCCCCATGGCAGGTAATAGTAATGGCAGCCTAAATAATAGTAAAATATAAAACATATAAAACAGTGGAAGTCACGTCAGATGCTTGAGTGAATGTGACTCATTGGCTTACAGGTGTTGAGATCCAAATAACAATCTAAAATTAAAAATTATTGGGCATTTTGTGTAATATAAAGCTTCAATCTTACTATTTATTTTATTTTTTAATACCTAAAACTCTTTTTTCACAAAATCACATAGGGCTCTGCATTTTTCCATTTACTTGTATAGATATGCAATACCATTCAATGGTCCGCTCTGATATTTTATTAAATATACAGTAAAAACAGTAAATATAATTACAATTTAAAATAAACGTGTTCTATTTGTAATTTCTTCCTATAATTGTAACCCTGTCTTACTCCAGACTTCAGGGTCACATGATCCTTCATAAATCATTCTAATATATTGATTTGGTTCATTATTATCAATGTTGAAACTAGATTTGCTGCTCAATATTTTTGTAGTAACGGTGATACAAGTTTCATGATTCATGATACTTTAATGAATAGAAATCTCTAAAGAACTGCATTTATTTGAAATACAAATCCTGTGTAACATTACACCAGTTTTGAACATTATAAAATTTAATGCATTTTAGGTGGATAAGCTGTTTCCTAAAATTTCTTAAAAAAAACAAAAAAACTTACTGACTCTAAACCTTTGAAAAGCAGTATATATTTACCCATCAAAAGTGCAAAGTTAATAAGATAATATTTATGGATTCAAATTTATCTTAAAGAATATTTAGTAAAACAATAAATTTTTACTGATAACACTTGTTTCTGTTAAAAGAAGAATAAGTGCCACAAAAATCCACTTCAAAGTGAAATCAAAGTTTAGATGTTTTATGTGGCATTCAAAAATGCATGTAAAATATTAACCAAAATCTGAACATATTCAGGTATAAATCATTATGTGGTTTCTCACCATCAAACACGGCCCTGCTGAACTGAGTGGTGGAGGCCAAAGGCAGACAGGTGTTGTCAAACTTGTTGCCATAGTTGCCAATACTGACTTCAAACTGAACTGCATCATCCACATCCTGAAGAAGAGTGGCTGAGTAGAATGCAGCAAACAGGGAGAACTTCCTCTTCCGCATGAATTTCTGTATGACACAATAAAACAGAGGCCCTTCACTTCTATTGAATGATCCATCCTGTGTCACATAATCCCATGTCTGGTGCCAAACCCAGCAAGAGTAACTGTGATCTCACCTCTACCACCAGCAGGTCATCAGGGTGTATGTCCTCAGTCTTTTGCTCCACCTGATCAGACAACTTTGTAATGACCTCCAGCAGCAAACGTCCACGATAGGCCACACCCTCTCCCTACATCAAAAAAAAAAATCAAACACATAGCAACTTCATTTCTAAAATTGTTCAAAATATTAAGCATCGTTAAGGCAATAATCAAACGTAATTTTAATAATATGTTTAAATGTTTATATGTTAAATATGTTTATATGTTATATGTAATAAGTTTGTAGTCAGTCATCATATGAAGGAGCATGGGGTATGCTATGCCACTTTCCAAGTTATTCCAAGTTAGATTTGAGGAATTACATATTCCAGACATAATTTCAAATTAAATATGAATATTAATTATATATAAATAAACATACATAATACAAAGGTTTAATATTAAAAAAAAGTAATCTAGTGAAACCATTTTGATATTTAGAATCATAAAAATATCAGTAAAAATGATTTGATTATCCAAAAACATACACACACACACACACACACACACACACACACACACATACATACATACATGTATATATAGAGAAAGAAAATCTCACCTTTCCAAAGTTTAGTACCTCATGTGGGTCTGAGAAGGCCGTGAATTCTCGGGGGCTCCCATACATGTTGACGTAGCAGGGGCCAAATGTCGGAAGAAAGCCTATATTGTCGTCCACTAATTGACATAAAATGGAGAACAGCAAGAATTAGACACACAGTGGTCACCTCCACCTTTAGGAGCAGTAAAATGTATGCACATTTAAATGTATGACCATATAAATCTCACCTTTCCAAAGTTTAGTACCTCATGTGGGTCTGAGAAGGCCGTGAATTCTCGGGGGCTCCCATACATGTTGACGTAGCAGGGGCCAAATGTCGGAAGAAAGCCTATATTGTCGTCCACTAATTGACATAAAATGGAGAACAGCAAGAATTAGACACACAGTGGTCACCTCCACCTTTAGGAGCAGTAAAATGTATGCACATTTAAATGTATGACCATATTGCTTCTTGAGATAAATTCAGTGGCAAATATATTTCCATTTAGTCATAGAAGACAACTCCTCTAAAGGCCAGCCGAATAAAAGGATAGACAGCAAGTACTACAGCCCAACATAAGGCTAAACCTGACATAGGTGTGATCTACAGGAAGGATAGCACACAGATTTGAGATCAGAGAGACACACATACTGGTGACGTGGAAGGTCCTGGGAGGAAACTCATCTGAGTGCATAGAGAAATACAAATGTTGAGACACAATAAGAATAGGATAAGTGAAAAATAGCTGATGCTATAGAACCTGTTACCTGACTCATGCATTAATCACGTCTGCACCAGGCATAGAGTTAGATTTGCACACCAAACTCAAACTCACTCACAAAAGATGGTGAAGCCAACAACCAACTGCTAACTTACTGAAACCAATGCAATGCAACACTACAATTCTGTCAACCAAGCCACATAAAAAACCTGAACTGTCATGCCTTTTGCTAAAGTAAAAAAAAAAAAAAAGAAGTACTTTGTCATCCTTGCCTCTAATTCAGATTAGGACACACAAGCCAATTTTACATAACATTCCCCAAAAAGCAGTGTTAATTTCATTATCTAGTTTCAATTCACAGCCAGTTTATTACTAATATGCAAAATCAAGACATCAAATCAGCAAGCAAACAAGGATTAATGTCACACTGGAACCCACACATTATTGAACTAATGCAACGTCTTTCAACATTGTAAACTGAAAGAATATTTTTTCTGATACCAAGAAAATAATTTCTGATACCAAAGTTACTTTTACCTATACTAACTAAATAGACAGAGACTACAAATTAATAAAAACACAAATGGCAATCATTGTGGCACAATGCTTGAGTGAATCGAGGTGTCAAGTTGTGGCTTTAGCCAATGATATGAATTTTGGGAAGGACTGATTTTAATACGCTTTTGCTCTGAGAATCGATAATATCTACCATTGTTCAGCAGTTATGTTTAATGTTTTTAGTTGTGCAGAAATAATGAACTTCAGCATATCTTCTTTAAATGGTAGAGCAGTGGTTCTCAACCAGGAGGCCGGGGCCCATTAGAGTGCCTCAACAAACTTCCAAAGAGATGTCAAGATTTAAAATAAGCATAAAAATAAAACCACTAAAATGTACCCCATCATCAACAGTTTTTTTCTTTCCTCTTTCAAGAACCAGGGTTTACACTGCCTTAAAAAAACCTGGATGAATTAGGCTAATGTTAAAAGTGTGATTTCAAAAAATCATGAAAATGAATGAAATCTTAAAACTCTATGGACATTATTTTTACAGTGAATATACATTTTTCTAGTTATGCCATGCTCTAAATTATTTTGTCAGGTAGAAACTGTGAGTAAAAGCTATTTTTAAAAATCTGTATCCTTTATCCTTACCCAGTAAATTGACTGGAAATATCATTAAAAATCATTGGTTAAAAAAGTGGGAACACCAAAGAACATTTGTCTCTTAAAACTTCTAGAATCCTGAAATTAATTGTTGTGAACAGTGGGTGGCCTTGGAGTCAAAAAGGTTGAGAACCACTGGTATAGAGAGTAAAAAAGCTGTAAAGCAGGATAATGACCTAAGGAGCCCCTTAGATTGATACTACCATGTAACAACAGAAGTAAACCAACAATTTGCATGCCACAAAGCACAGCCTACCTTCAATTTCTCCTCCAGGGGCTGAGATTTTGGAAATACATAAGTGTGTCGTGCCAATGACATCATTGTGGCTGGCTCGATCCCTGAAAGAATCACAATAGGAAGGCATATAAGATAACACATTTTTGTCACAAATTAAACAATCCATATTAACATATGATGGCTAGTTTAGAATTTGAACTGACCAATCTAAAATGCGTATCCTCATCTTTTCACACATGGATGGGAACTGGAGTGAAAAACAGACTGTTAATAGACCTAATGAAGGACTTGTTATGTAGCTTTGTGAGGTGAGTGCATGTCCTTTACCCTAATAGGCAGAGTGAGGCTCTGGTTCCACTGAGGGTTGGCGTTTTTCTCCAGAATCTTACTACTGATCTAGAGATATAAAAATATAATATCAGTACCTTTTTAGCAACTTATGAATACCTCATGATTAAACTAATTACGAAATCAGAAGTACCGTTTTTCCTGCAAAGTTGACCTCCACGAATGGATCCACCAGGTTCTTTCGATTAGTTTCGAAACCAAGGAACTGTTTGACACCATCCATAAGAGCGTCATCCACTGTCCGAGGAGAAAAGCAGATTAACAGATGAAACAGAAAACACACGTCTACACACAGACGTGTTTGATACTCACTCTGAGGCAGGTCTTCTGCCCTGTACACTCTGAGAGTAAACGTGGCTCCTGTCAAGGTGAGACCAGCTGGTCTCAACAGGTTCCCCTCTATATCCTCCTTTTCTTCTAGACCCTCTTTCTTATCCATCTGACACACAGCATTGGTGTTTTCAAAAGAATGAGAGAAATCTATACAATAAGGTTCGATTTGTTAACATCACGCTCGATCTATCTCTCACTTACCGGAGGTTCATCCCCTGCAGCCAGCACAAACATGCTGACCTTTAAATAACCTCTGGCCCCGGCAGAAAGATCATCAGGGTCTGCCAGCAACAACCATTTCCTGAGAATAGCATGTCCTGTTCAGTGGAATAGAAAAAAAGAATGCTAATTATAAATACAGCTTCAATTTTAAAGGCAACGAGCTTAATTGAATTTCAGTGATACTGAAGATCCAGAGGTTTGTTTGTATTACCACAAGGTGGCACTATTTTTAAAGCAGAATCATAGAATGAAAATGATAGTACATTTAAATTGAGTGGACAGGGTTTGACATTTAATACAGATAAATATAATTAGGGAGTCCATTCTGTACGGCTCAATAAGAAACCACTATTAATCTGCTTATTACAGTTTTTCAAGCCATTTTTGTTGTGGCACAATCACAGAAATACACAAAAAAAAAATATTTTATTATTTATTTATAATTTAGTATTTTTCTCAAATCTTTCAGCTCAGATGAGAACCAATGGCTTAAATATGCTTTTTGCTGTTCTTGGATCTATTCTAGAAAACAATGCTCAGATGTTTGTTTTATTAACACATAGAACACATTGTCTTGCCTAGAGCAAATAAACCAGTTTAAAGCCAAAATAAATTTTTGGCTTACTACACCTACTTTGTATTACCACAAGGTGGCACTATTTTTAAAGCAGAATCATAGAATGAAAATGATAGTACATTTAAATTGAGTGGACAGGGTTTGACATTTAATACAGATAAATATAATTAGGGAGTCCATTCTGTACGGCTCAATAAGAAACCACTATTAATCTGCTTATTACAGTTTTTCAAGCCATTTTTGTTGTGGCACAATCACAGAAATACACAAAAAAAAAATGAGTGACTTCTTAACCGTGACCCTCAAAGTCCTGGGCTTTATTTAGGGTGCATTTCAAAACACATCAGATTGCAGTCGATGGGTGGATACAACTTGAGAAACAACCAGGAAACCGTAGCTTTGATAAGTACGAGTTAAAAATAACAAGACTGAGATCCTAGAGTTTCAGGCCCAGTCCAAATACATGCATTCAGTTTGCATTAAGCATAAACTGGATCCGTGTCTCATCTCTAGATACAGATACTGATTCGGTTTTGCCAAAACAGACTGAACAGAATTGTTGGTTGTCAGCAATACTAACAGTCCACCTTTCTCTGTCAATACCTTTCATTTGAAAAACACTTGCCATCTGCACATAGTCAGTCAAATTCTCATGCTGTATCTCTCTCTCTTGCAAAGTCTGCATGTATTATTGCTTACTGAGAGCTCAAACTAAGGACTCTGGCAGTTGGACTGGGAGGATAATTTGCGTCTGTGATGTCTATAAATGGAGATGGTATTTGATACCGTGCCTGAGGAAAAAAACACTTACTGCAGCTAATTTTATGTCTTCCAGTCTCATTCCCTCTCCATAACATTCACATACAAAGGAAGAAATGCATATAAACACAAGATCCCTCTGATTAGAATGGAATCAGACTAATTATGATTAAAATGGAAGCTGTCTGAAACTAAAACCCAAAACGCGAAGTATGGGAACTAAATGGAAAAACAAATAAGAAAAATAGGTGACCTCCAGATGGATAGAGTGACTCAGTATCTGTTTCTGTCAGAATGAGGGGAAGCCTTTTCATCACATGACAAAGAGGTGGAAAAAGAGATGACCCTCAGTAATGATACACTACATAGAGGAAATTCACAACTGTTTTATGTCAAGATATGACATAACATGCACAGAAAACGGGGTTTAAGGAATCTTTCCAACATAATGCAAATAAATGTAATGAAGAAAATTGAAAAAAAGTAAGAAAAATCAACAGAAATGAGAAAGGTTGCCGGTTACACTTTATTTCGATAGTTCACTTTAGACATTCTACTAACTATAAGTAACTTTGTAACTACATGTCAACTAATTCTCATTCATTTGCAACTACATGTCTACTAACTCTCAGAGTAGATTTAGGGTAGGTTTAGGGTTAGTAGAATAAGTTGACAAAGAAAGAGTTAGAAGATATTAAGCAGACAGTCTACTAATACTCTACTAACTGCTAGTTGACATGTAGTTGCAAAGTTACTTACTGTTAATAGAATGTCTAAAGTGGACTATCGAAATAAAGTGTTACCAGGTTGCCTTGCCTTTACTAACTGAAAAGCTAAATAGAAATATTTTTTAAAAGTTACAAACATGAAATTACTAAAATTAAGCAAGTACAACTGAAATCTAAAATATATTGGGGAAAAAACGAATTCAAAATATTAATACAATGCTATGATAATATTTAAATAATACTAAAAAATAGCACTGGAGCCAATGAATGAATGAAGCAGGTAACTCAGCACTGCAAGCAATACTACTCTCTTTGAGAGAAAATGATATGTCACAAAAAGTATCCAATTGAAATTTAGAAATCTCTGCTCTCCTTGATATTTTCCAAAGCGGTTTGCCAGGATAATGATCACTAGTGATCTGCTAAATAACACAAGGCAGGAACTGCATTGTTTCTCTGAGCATCCTGCAAAATGAAGTCATCAAATCAATCTACATCCTTATTAACTTAATATTTAATAGCTTAAAAGTAATTATATCTTAATAATATGTGTTCTTGTTTTGTGATCATTTGAACAATCAAATAGGATGATTAAAGGAAGAAAAAAAAAAACGAATTCAAAATATTAATACAATGCTATGATAATATTTAAATAATACAAAAAAATAGCACTGGAGCAAATGAATGAATGAAGCAGGTAACTCAGCACTGCAAGCAATACTACTCTCTTTGAGAGAAAATGATATGTCACAAAAAGTATCCAATTGAAATTTAGAAATCTCTGCTCTCCTTGATATTTTCCAAAGCGGTTTGCCAGGATAATGATCACTAGTGATCTGCTAAATAACACAAGGCAGGAACTGCATTGTTTCTCTGAGCATCCTGCAAAATGAAGTCATCAAATCAATCTACATCCTTATTAACTTAATATTTAATAGCTTAAAAGTAATTATATCTTAATAATATGTGTTCTTGTTTTGTGATCATTTGAACAATCAAATAGGATGATTAAAGGAAGAAAAGTATTTTGTTGCCATGGAAACTCAGCATACAAATACACATCAAGCTCATCAATCCCACATGCTCACAAACGCATGTTCCTGTACATCCCTGCGCTGCAACAGGATACATGGAACAATGGGAGGAACTGCCACTCAGTTTACGAGGTGGTCTAAAACTAGTGTCCGTCACATTCATTCATTCAATGCAAGAACTAATTAAAATAATGAATCAAGCTCAAATCAATTCAAATATCTGAATTATGTAGCATCTTGCAGTGATATGATCGCTCTGCTATTAGCTGTAATGATCCACCGTCCTAGAGTAAAGTTATCAAAACATATCACTTGGCAGAAATCTGCTTTTTCTATGCCTTTCAACAATCACCATCAGACTGACCGGTCAAAAATGTCCCTCTAGCTCTAGAATGAAATTACTTTACATAAAATACTATTATTGTTAGTAAACAAATGCATTTTTACTATACTGGTTTGCTATAGGAATTACGCATAATTAGCACTCATCTACCCAACAGTCTCAAAGACTGAAATCTGCATCTGATCCTACTTTTTCATGCCCTCAGCTAGATAGACAATCACGTTTTTGATGTCACCTCTTACCTCTGAAAGTGATGCTAGCAAGCGGGTCACTATGCCTCTCCCCTTTTTCTACATTTCTCAGATTGGTCGCCCTCTGTAGCAAACACCTCAACATGCTGCCTTGATGCCCAAACTCTCCAACAAGAAGCAGGGCAAACCACCATCAGACCACAAAAGAGAGACAGATCCTGACAGGACCTTCACAAAGGTTGCTCTGAAGATAAACGTGTCTTGGGATCTTTAGGTCCAAAGCTGAAGATGAGTGTGGCGTCCAGAATGGAATGCATCAGGGGGTTGTATAAACCAACCACAATCTTGAAAATCAATTTCTGTTTGAGTCCTTGATAAGGCGTCCGAATTGATAAATGTGTTTCCCTTACATGCGTACACAGAGACTGTCATGTAGGAACTTACGGAGCCAAACTTAGTGTGGACCACACTTTCCTCTCCAGTGACCCAGCCCATAACTCCAGAGGAAATTTAAACATTTCCTGCAGCTTGTTCTTCTCTCTCCTCATCCATCTTTTCTCTACAGTCTTTTAATTAGAAAATAAAACATTAATGAATATAAAACCTCTTTACGTTTTACAAAAACTTGCATAATGCAGTGGATTTGAGAGAACAACATCTTGTAACAATTAGTGTAAGCAAAAGATATTTTGGGATTTAATGGCACCTGTAATTGCCAACATCAAAATCCACTCATTTAGAACTAACAAACATTAGTTACCACACAGAGTTATTTTATTATGTTAGTATACCGTACTACAAGAGTCTCTGAGGTCTCTGTGTAGGCTTGTTTCTTGTTAACTGACATTTCCAAGCGAGGAGCACCACCTACTGCCATGACTTGGTCAGATTTCTCCCTGACTTCTAAAGTTTTGTTTTGATTTTATGCTTTAAGAGCCTCCTGATTAGCCTGACACAGCAACTGTGGTTCAACCAATGGTATGAGTTTGGGGCGAGACTCTTCAGTTTGTCCACCAATGGCAGATGGCGGGAATGTTCACATAAGTGAGGCCTTATATTTGCAATACAGTTTGCTGATGCTAGCCTGTACACTTCACCTTTGAGCTTGCATCATCCTGTCGTAAAAAAATGTGATGTGGATTCAAATGAGATGATGCCAAATTCACACTGCAAAGGTGAAACACAGAAGTGTTTCTGAAGAGGCATTCAGGTGTTTGTCCACAAACTGTTTATTGCTGTTCAGAGGTGGTATGAATCCATTTACACAGCAATTACAACTGTATACTTTGATACTAGAGACTGAGATGGGTCAGAGCATGTCAAATTTTGTCAGGCTATTATCCAGCATTGTGACTTTACACTGAATTTTTAGCACTTGGCTGTATAAGACGCCTATTTGAATGATTTACAGGAGATTTAGTAAAAACTTGGGTCATTAATATCTGAATTACTGTATTTAAATGAAGTATTTTTATGTAAAGAAATGTCGGTTTATTGTGATTTGCAGTGTCCTTTTTTGTTACATCTTCCAAAGCCTCAGCAATAAAAGGCACAGCAACTAAACGATGTACAAAGCAACCCAATAAAATGAGAATACAAGACTATGCTCTCATAATAGTTTGTTACTCTAAAATGTACCACTGAATGGATGTAATGGAAGGGAATGCTGTATTGTATTGATTTACTGAAGTACTTTAACATAGATATCTCAGCTTGCTGGTATATGATTGCCTCATGACTACAGCAATGACAAGCCCTCTATTGAGCAAACAAACTGCATTCCCCAAGAAACACAGAGGGGGGAGATAAACATTGAGCAAAATTCAGGTCAATGTACTTAAGTACTTGAATATGAGAAAATATTAAAACAGCCAGCTGTTTGAGCAATCAGGATCAGACATACTACCATTCAAAAATTTGGGGTTGGTGAGATTTTTTAAATATTTTTGAAAGAAGTCTCTTATGCTCACCAAGACTGCATTTATTTGTTCAAAAATACAGTAAAAACAGTAATATAATTACCTTTTATAATTCATTTCCAGCGTTATCGTTGACATAATTGCAAAGATATTATTTAAACTGAGCTGGATGTTGACATCACTGAATTCAATGATGAACTGTCTTTAACTGAAAAATGAGTGTTTACTACTGTCATTTTGCATTATTGACACTATTTTCCTAATTAATGCTGTTCAGTTGCTTTGTCACAATCCGTATTGTTAAAAGCGCTATATAAATAAAGGTGACTTGACTTGACTTGACTAACCATCTCACATGAATTATGGGCCCCTAAAAGCTTTGAATGTAAAGCAAACAGGAGCCCCACATTGAACCAAACTGTGATGACATAGCATCTTAGAAACACAGAGCAGATCAGTAGCACTCTTTGACACACACATATTCCAAGTGCAACAGGACACCCATAAAAATACACGAGAGAGAGACTGCAACTGCTTTTCCAATAATAGCCCGCTTGATGGAATGTGGAAAGTAGGAAGACCGACAAAAAGACAGTGAGAGAAGAGAATGAATGTGACAGTGCAGAAAAGAAAATGTAAATCTAGCAAACTCTCTATAGCATATTCTACATAAAAAAACTCCTTACTCGTTCACCCTGGTCTGGCCCTTACCTTCATAAGTGACAGTGCAGTAGGCATCGCTAATGTCCTCATCATGCGTCAGCACATTCTGGGCGCACAGAATAAACACACGCAGCATGGGTGGACAGTGGTTACGGCAGAATCCGCAGCTAATAACACTTGTAAGTCGCAATACAGGGCACTGTGGTCCAAGACAGAGATGGACCACTAGGGGTGTCTCTGGATCCCAAATCAGTCCCAAAGAATCAGTCTGGTTTTCACTCCAAGAACAGAAAATGAAAAAAGATAACAAAAAGAAGAGAGGTAGAAAGAAAAAGAGAAAAGCTCTGCCACAGACTGCGCATAGGACAGTAGTCTGATGGGACTGTAGCTGGTGTGGTTGCTGCCCCACTTCCTGGCAGCCTGCACACACTCACACACAGCTGGCTCTAAAGCCCCTGACTCATATACATGCTGCCCTTTCAATCACAGACTGCAGCTCCTCTTAAAGCGACAGGAGACTTTTGGTCAGCACCTGTTAAAGCAACAGTGACTCACAAGTTTTGGGAAGTTCACTCCTGCTGCTGTCTACGTCTCTGACAAAACAGTAAGGAAGATTTAAGAACAACTGGCATTGTACAACACTGTACAGATGTATGGAAATTGGAAAAGGTTTAGACCAGAGACTGGGATGAGAGACCCTTTCCCATGATACTTCTAAGAATAAGATTCAAACCTAAAAAGATCAAATAAAATAAAACCATCCTCATAATTTACATAGTCTACTTTATTAAGAATGTGTGGCTCCAATTTAAACAATTGAATTTGAGTATATTAACATTCCTCATTGTGAATCCATTGTAACAAACGTTTGTAGGTCGGGAAGAAGGAGGCGGGAACCGGCGAACATTTACACAAACTTTAATAATAAAATAAACTCACAACAGCGCGACAGCCCCTCGCGGACGACTGTCGCGCACAAACAAAACCAAAACACAAAATAAAATCCAGGCCTGGTCCTCTCTCGTCCAACACGGTCGTCACGCCTCCTCTTTATCCTTCCGGAGCTCCTCCGTGAGACTCGAGACCGGTGAGTGGTGCAGGTGTCGCGCATTAGCAATTACTCCACCGGCCTCGCTCCGTTCCCACGGCTCTCGGCCCCGCCCCTCTCGTCACATACCCCCATCGCCCCTCGCAGGCCGGGGGGTAGGCCTACTCCCGAGACTGCGCTCTACTCCCCCCCCCCTCCGGCCGCGGCGTACCTGGGGGTAAGGACAGACAGACGAGGCGAGAGAAAAGGAGACGGAAGGATGAGGAGAGACAGAAGGCGGGAACCGGCGAACATTTACACAAACTTTAATAATAAAATAAACTCAAAAGAGCACGACAGCCCCTCGCGGACGACTGTCGCGCACAAACAAAACCAAAACACAAAATAAAATCCAGGCCTGGTCCTCTCTCGTCCAACACGGTCGTCACTCCTCCTCTTTATCCTTCCGGAGCTCCTCCGTGAGACTCGAGACCGGTGAGTGGTGCAGGTGTCGCGCATTAGCAATTACTCCCCGCCCCTCTCGTCACATCCATTATTTCTAAAACAATGAAACATTGATTGAGCATTCATTTTTTTTCAGGTTTTATCGACAGTAAACTAGTAACTGATGATTCTGCCATGATTATCATCCTGCAATTCTGGAACATGAGGACACCTCAAAATACATAGCACTGATGGGCATTTAAATTAATTATTTTTTCCTGTCTTGTTTTGTCATGATCTCATTATATCTGCAAATTTTGTTTCTAGATTAACATTGATTCCACATTAGAATGTAAACATAGAGGACAATTTCAGTAAACGGAAATTTGCACACACTTTTAAAGAAATGAAACTTAACTGGGGTGAGGGAATTTAGCCTAAACAGTCAAGAGCTACTACTGTACAGTAACTCCTCCTACATCCTGCATCTGTCATAAACGCCAACAAGGTTTAAAAGTATTTTTATTTATTTAAGCTTCACTTTTTTTTTCCTTCAAGGAGTCCTTTTATTTGAATGCACTTAGAATGAAACATAGTTTAACACCAAGCATGGTTATCCTGTCATATTGTCTAATGATGTTCACAAAATGACAACTATAACATTAAAAGAAAAAAAAACATTACTGGTCCAGTCTCAAACCATTCTCAAAGAGCGACAACCTTAGCCTTATTATTAGAATAACAAAACTTGCCAAAAGAAAAAGGTGTGCTATCAGTATTATGCAATACTTTATAGTGAAGTGAAACTGAAACCTATTTAACCTCACAATAAAACCTGGTCTGATCTTCTTTGTACTGTATTTTTCTCCTGAGCCAGAGACAACACCAACAGACAGGTGAGATTTCATAGACTAAAAATGTAAAGCTATGTACTGTAAAGCAATTAACTTAAGAATGATACTTAAATATAAGACTAGACTATATAAATATTGTATAGAACCGTCACAGCACCACGCTACAGAATATAGACTAATATAATTTCGACCTTTGATCACTTCTACGCAGAGCTTCATTGTGTCCCTGTTTCTGCACTTACAGTCATGACTTCCTTCAGTTCATCACTCTCTGGTGAGCTGCTCCAGTGCAATATATGTCTGGAGGTGCTCACTGACCCAGTCACCACTTCATGTGGACACAACTTCTGCAATGTTTGTATTGAGGCATGCTGGGAGAGTGGACAGCTCTATCGTTGCCCTCTCTGTAAGGAAGGATTTGATAGTAAGCCAGAATTGAAAATAAATGTAGCATTTCAAAAGGTTGTTGACCGTTACAAGGTGCATCAACAGCCAAAGAAACTCCAACACCAGACAAAAACCTTTCCTCACATTTTATGTGATGTCTGCTCTGAAAACAAGCTAAGGGCAGTAAAGTCTTGTTTGCAGTGTGTAACATCTTTCTGTGAGACTCACCTGACCAATCACAAAACTGCACCAAGGCTCGTAAGGCACAAACTGATCGACCCCGTGGACAACCTGGAAGATTATCTCTGTGAGAAACATGATAAACCACTGGAGATGTTCTGCAGAGACGATCAGACCTGTCTATGTCTGTTTTGCACTGAAACAGAACATAAGACTCACAACGCTGTTCCTATTGAAGAAGAAAGTGGACACAAGAGGGTAAGACAAAAGATATGAGAGATTAGAAGATATTTTAGTATGTCTATTCAATTATACTTAACTGAACTGTTCACACGAAATGAATTTACTTATCTCCTAACAACTTCTGTGAAACAAAGAGCAGCTCTTTCTCATTCCACAAAAGTCAATATGTCCATATGAGTCACATTTTAGAATTCTTTCTAAAGCAATTCAATAGCTTGTGAGACAAACAGATCACAATTTAAGCTACAGGCCGATATTTTTTGCTGACACAAAGCACTAAAATAAACTACAAAAACTGCACATTAAAGCAACAGGTAAAAACATCAGTTAATAATTTAAATTTTGGCTTTTTCTTTACAAAATGATACACACGTAGACAGCTGCACAAGTGCAGGTGTAAATGATGAACTTTTTTAAGGTTGGGGTGATCTATTCCTTTAAAAATTTCATTTTACTGTAATTTTGAAAAACATGTAAAAACAACTAGAAATTGAATTGCCAACATATGATTTCAAGAAAGTATTGTAAAGTAAATCGAATTGATGAAATCTAACAAACTCACTGCAAACAATACTTTCCTATTGTAAGAGAACTGTTCTATGTGTGTTTACACTTGATGCATTTACTTTAAAAAAATATATTGTTTCTGTCCTCAGATTCAACTGGAAAAGACACAGGCAGAAATAAAGGTGATGATCCAGGACAGATGTAATAAGATTAAGGAGATAAAAAACTTAGCAAAATCCAACAAGGTGTGTTGTTAGTGAAAAATCAACAGATTTTTTAAAACAACTATCTACTGTATAGAGGTGGTGGAAAGAATGGTTTGGAATCTGATTTGAATTCACTGTCTATTATTCTTCTCAATATAACTAGAGCACCAATGAGAGCAATAAAGCAAATAAAGTTGAGCTGTTTACTGATTTGATCCACTCCATTGAGAGATGTCAGTCTGAGCTGCTGGAGGTGATGGAGCAGAAGCAGACAGCAGCAGAAACACAGGCTGGAGAGCTGATTAAAGAGCTGGAGCAGGAAATCACTGAGCTCAAGAGGAGAGAGTCTGAGCTGGAGCAGCTCAAAAAAATATATTGTTTCTGTCCTCAGATTCAACTGGAAAAGACACAGGCAGAAATAAATGTGATGATCCAGGACAGATGTAATAAGATTAAGGAGATAAAAAACTTAGCAAAATCCAACAAGGTGTGTTGTTAGTGAAAAATCAAGATTTTTTAAAACAACTATCTACTGTATAGAGGTGGTGGAAAGAATGGTTTGGAATCTGATTTGAATTCACTGTCTATTATTCTTCTCAATATAACTAGAGCACCAATGAGAGCAATAAAGCAAATAAAGTTGAGCTGTTTACTGATTTGATCCACTCCATTGAGAGATGTCAGTCTGAGCTGCTGGAGGTGATGGAGCAGAAGCAGACAGCAGCAGAAACACAGGCTGGAGAGCTGATTAAAGAGCTGGAGCAGGAAATCACTGAGCTCAAGAGGAGAGAGTCTGAGCTGGAACAGCTCTCACACACTGAAGATCACCTGCACCTCCTACAGGTCAGTGTCTCTCTTACTGCTCACATCACAGGACAACACTCCTGACAACACTTATGAAGCATTTCTCTGCTCTCCTGCATTGCACCAGGTCTACTCATCTGTGTGCAGCCCCCCAGAAGTCAAGAGCTGGACAAACATCAACATTAACACTGATCTACTCAACACAGACATTCTGGATAAAGCTCTTACTTGCCTCAAGGAAAAAGTCAACAAGGAACTGAAAAAAATCCATGATATCAGTAAGCATTATAGAAGTGAATTTATATGAACTTAAGAATACTTTTCTAGGCAAAAGGGGCAAGTTTGTTTAGAACATTGTATCCACAACAATAATTTAAAGGGATAGTTCTCTCAAAACAAAAATTATGTCATCAGTACTCACACTCACGTTGTTTCAAACCTGTATCAATTACTTTCTTCTGTTAAACACAAACAAAGATATTTTTAATGAAAATTGGTAACCAAACAGTTGCTGGTAGCCATTGACTTTAATAGTACAATTTTGTATACTATGGAAGTCAATGGATACCAGCATCTCTTTGCTTTATTTACCTGAGAACTGAGGTTATATGCAGTTTTTAGATTCTGTCTGCCAGCAAAATCTGTGCAAGTTGCAGTTGTCTAATAATATTTTCTGCTCAGTTATTGATCTAGTGATTAAATAAGGCTTGCATCAGTCTTGATTTATTACTGTATATTTAAACATTTTCTTTTACAGCTCAACCTTCTGTTGTTCACGGAATCAACTTCAATCCCCCAACATCACAACCTTCAACCAATAGGATATTTGAATTTGGCAGCACTAACACAGATTCTGCTCCCTTCCATCATTCACTGCTACCTAAAAGTTCTTCAGCTATGGAGAAAATTGATACTTTGAGAACACAGAAGTGCATCCTGACAGAGATTTCAAATATTAAAACAAGCACTGTTCAGACAGAGGGCAAAATCTACTTTACTCTGGGTAAAACAGACTTCGGCACTCGCTCAATGAAGAAAGCAGAAAAGATTAATAAGCCAGTGAAGGTCTCATGGTTCGGTCTGAGTCTAAATACAATACAGCAACTTTACGCAGGTAAGATAAATATGACTAATATTAACATTAGTTTAAGGGTTGCTTCTAATGCATTCATCACTTTACCTGTGTTTTTCTTGAAGTGGGTGTGATTTTGGATCCTAACACAGCTCATCCTAAACTCATCCTGTCTAAAGATGGGAAACAAGTGAGTCATGGTGGATCCTGGAGAGATGTTCCCAATAACTCTGAGAGATTTGACTCGTCTGCTTGTGTCCTGGGAAAGGATGGATTTTCCTGTGGGAGGTTTTACTTTGTGGTCCAAGTCGGTGATAAGACTGAATGGGACTTAGGTGTGGCTCGAGAATCCATTGAGAGAAAGGGGAAAATAACAGTGTGCCCAGAGAAAGGATTTTGGGGTATTTGGCTAAGAAATGGAGGTGAATATGTGGCTAATGAATATTGTCCTGTTCCTCTTTCCCTAAAAGACAAGCCCCAGAAGGTGGGGGTGTTTGTGGATTATGAGGAGGGTCTGGTCTCCTTCTACAACGTGGAGACCAAGGCTCTTATCTACTCCTTCACTGGTCAGTCTTTCACTGAGAAAATCTTTCCATTTTTCAGCCCTTGCAACAAAAGAGGAGATGTGAACACAAAACCTCTGATTATCCATACTGCCTAATTACAATGCAGTCTATCTTCCTTTAAAGAAATAATTAATACAACAACATATGTGGTCACAGTAGCTGGTTAAGAGTTTTTGTTGTCGTGTGTTTGTTTATTACCAGCAACCATGAAATATTCATTTCATGCCTGGCTAGGTAAATGTGAAGTTCAGTGAAGTACTTCTTCACTCTTGTTTCTTGCTTCAACTTGTTATATCATAATGTAATTGCTTAGACATAAAATAATAATTGTCTTGCTGATTGTACATTAAATTAATTTTCCTTTCATTTTTTCTTTCTTCATTTTTATTTATTTATTTATTCATTTGGAAAGTGAATAAAATGTTTTATTGAACAAATGTGTGTTTGCTTGATTGCTAAACGCCAATTAACAGAACTTTACTAAACAGTTCTAACTCATTTAGAAGCATTTTGTTTCAAAGTAGATTGATGCGATTGCAGCATTGTTCCATCTTTTTCTTCTTCTCAGACAAAAATTGATCTTTTAGTTTACATGCACTTGCAGTGAAATTACGGAAAAACATACAATTGCAAATCACACAACACTCTAAAAATTTTATTTAAAAAAATAATAATTAACCCAACAGCTTGGTTAGTCCATATTTGACTCAAAGTTGGGTTGAAATAAGACAGCATTTTTTTGAGTGAAGGAAAACAGCAGAAAGAGTAAAGTTTGTGAACAAACTTTGATGTTGGTTCGAGAGAGCCTGCATAGAAAGTTAGTAGTTTTAAAAGCTTGAAGTATGAAGGTTTTAAGGCGAGAGAATCTATTAGACAGACAGATAATCAGATAGATGTTTTAAAGTGTTACTAGAGTGTTGTGTTCAGTAGATAGGGTATTCTGGTTTGTTGCTAGGGTGTTGCTTTTGCCGGTCATTGTGTTGTCACTCACAATAAAAATCAATGAGTTGCAAGATGCCACAACATTGCACCTCTGGTTGTTAAAACCACCACAATTTGAATTGCTGAAGAAACTGGATAAACTTTCACAGGTAAGAATGCATTTGGTTGGGTTTTTAATTTGTATTAACTCAATATTACAAGGTTTTTAATCTATAGTACCTTTTAAATGCCATAATGGCTTTGTCTTGCTGTATTGTGTTAGTTTAGCAAAATCTTCTGCTGAAGTTCATTGCAGATATAGATATTCATACATGCATATTACTAGTGTTGCAGACACACCGGCAACTTGCTCTCAAGTGTTCACAGACCATCTTTGACCATTCCAATATGGCGGACAGCTTACGTATAGCGGCCCATAGAAACAGCCGCTAATAGGGCATCTACCTATACATATCTATGTGTTTCAGATAGATACTAGCTGCTAAGATAGATATAGCATTGCAAGTCAGAACAGTCTGAAGGTCTGACCTGAGTTTGGTGGTAGGGTAGAGTGGGGGAAAACACCCCCCTACTGTTTTTCCCAAAATAACCACAAGATAAACTCAAGATAATTTTTTATTGCAACTATGGACTACGTTGACAAGAGTGATGTAGAAGTTTTCACCATAAAGCTTACACTGGAGAAAATGGATTTCACAGTGAATGATCTAATTAAGAAAAAAAGTGTTTTAAAGCTTATTGTTTTGTAGAAAATCACAGTGAGAACAGTAGGGCCTGTAGATAGGTAGTACATGTTATTTAAGAAAAATATTATTATATTTTCAGAATATAAATATTTTCAGACATAATTTTTTCTCAAAAAATTACCCGTGGGGTAAAATGCCCCCCAGCCAGGTGGGTTAAAGTGCCCCCAGGCCCTGGGGCCCAGGGGGCAATGGGCAATTACTGTAGTTATTCTGTTCTGAACATCAAATCCTTTGTTTTTCCATCAAATGTATTCTAACTAGTTGGTTAAATAAAAATATTTGGACTTTATATTTAAAAATGACCTCAAGTTAGCATCAGGTTAGCACCAGCTAACAAAATCCTTCAAACAGGCTATTATAATTTTGTAATTCATAATTACTGATTATATTCTCTTTTTAATTTTAAGCTAAAACTGCCTGTTCTCTGATTTTGCTGTAAATGTATAAAGCAAATTGCTTTGTAAGACTGGGGGGCATTTTACCCCACCTTGGTACAAATTTTATTGTTTTTAATTTTTGTTAAAAATCTAATAACATGAAAACTCTGGACATTTTTCGTACTTGGTTTATAATTTATGTCATTGTCACTAAAACTATGATAACTTTTCTGAACACATTTAACTTTTGTTTCACAGAGAAAAAAAATCACATAGTCCTTAAGGGGGACGTTTTCCCCCACTCTACCCTAACAGCTTGAAAGGTCTAGGATGAATTGGAGTCAGAACGTTTAGTCTCTGAAAAAGTTAGCAGGGGTGAAATTAGGGGTGATGACTACAAGATACACACCTCTTGTTTATGTTGGACTTGTCACTTCATGTTAATCTGCAAGCCAATAGCACATAAGCTTTTACATAGAACAAAAAGCTTTCCTGACCAATTGTAAAGAACTTTTTTTCCAACCTGCGGCTATTCCAGACTCCAAACAAAAAAAAAAAAGTATAAAAATCTCAAAATAATTTTCCCTGATAATATGTCAGCAATAATGTCACATCATTTATGATTACCCTAGCTTTTAAGTAAAGACATGGGCGATTTTATCAGCAACATTCTGTGACAGTTCATGGAAGTGATACCGAGGAGATAAAAAGCTCTGAAAAGGTGCACTTTGAGTGATTCAAAGCCATAACAACTATGTATATGTAAATTTTAATGGTTACTCACCTTGTGGAGCTGATGGAGATAATGCTATAGAATACTTCATATAACTCTTAACTCTGTTTTCCCTAACCTCACCAGAACAACAATGTCAAAAGTCTCACTGCTCTGATTGAGAGATGTTGGTCTGAGCTGCTGGAGGTGATGGAGCAGAAGCAGAAAGCAGCAGAAAAGCAGACTGAAGAGCTGATTAAAGAGCTGGAGCAAGAAATCACTGAGCTCAAGAGGAGAGAGTCTGAGCTGGAGCAGCTCTCACACACTGAAGATCACCTGCACCTCCTACAGGTCAGTGTTCTTTACTCAGCAATATCTCTTAGAATTCTTGCATTAGATCAAACTGCACATTTATGGATCCCCTCTCTCTTGCAATACTGCAGACTTGCTCATCTGTGTGCAGCCTTCCACAAGTCAAGTCCTGGACCAGCAAAATTACTGATATGAACATAGATCTGAACACAGAAATCTTTGAGAAAGCTCTCCGGGGCCTTCAGGAAAACATCAAAATGGAACTGAAGAAATTCTTTGAAATCAGTCAGTATTAGAGAAAATATATACTCTGTTGTTTCACTTGTGTATGTTTTTGTTTAAATGCAAATCCCTTTTTTTTTTTCATAGTCCACTGTCCACACAGACCTTCAGTTGTTCAAGAGTCTTCTGCCTCAGATTCTGGGAGTACAGATTCTGTTCCCTCTCATCCTTTACTGGTGTCTGAATGTTCTTCAGTGATGGAGAAAAAAGATGTTTCAGCTATCCTGAGCACAAAGCAGGGCACTCTGACAGAAGTGTCAAATACTACAACAAGCAATGTTCAGACAGAAGACAAAATCTACTTCAACAAGAGCAGCACTCCTTCACCAAAAAGAGTGGAAAAGATTCATAAAAAAGGTATTGTGACTGATAAGACAGACACAGACCGAACAGAACACTTTTCGTGTTTTTTTAGTCTTTAACGAAGTGCTTTTTTGTGCTATTTATCCAAAACTGACATAAAATTTTGTCTTCTACTAATTGAAGTAACTGAAGTTTTGAAATCTATAACTTTTCCGAATTGTGTAAATTTATTAATTTATGTCACAATATTCCCAATCTCCCCTACTCCATGTACAGGTGTGGTTTAAGGCTGGAAATACACTACATGACTTTTGCTTAGATTTTTGCCCCTATTTACAGTCTGGAGGGGTTGACTCCAAAAGTCAGAGCCAGTCTGCAGATTTGAGTTGACAGATTCCATAGAAAATGGCGTAGTGTATGATGGTCACAGACTCTTGATTTATGAATCCATCCAATATGAGGATATCCCACATGTTTGATATTTTCAGCCGATTTTAGAACACGTGTTGTTTTTCTTCCTCTATGACTTTTTACAAAGTCGGTAAGTGTATGATGCCTAGCATTTAAAATCTGTTGTTGATGAAGGTTAATAGAAGTGTATACTAACATTAAATATTTCTCCATCAGCAGATCTGAGTACAATAAAGAAACTTTATGCAGGTAACGTCCACATGGTCATGGTCATGATTAACATAAGCATAGATTCCTCTCAGATGGAGCTTTTAAATTGGCTGCTTGTATTGTATTCGTCACTGTACATGTGTTTCTTTTGCAGTGAATGTGATTTTGGATCCTAAAACAGCTCATCCTAAACTCATCCTGTCTAAGGATGGAAAACAAGTGAAGCATAGTGGATCCTGGAGAGATGTTCCCAATAACCCTGAGAGATTTGACTCCTCTGCCTGTGTCCTAGGAAAGGATGGGTTTTCCTGTGGGAAAATTTATTATGAGGTTGAAGTCGGTGAAAAAACTGAATGGGACTTAGGTGTGGCTAGAGAGTCCATTGAGAGAAAGGGGAAAGTAACAGTGTGCCCAGAGAATGGCTTTTGGTGTATCTGGCTAAGAAATGGAGGTGAATATGTGGCTAATGAATCTTGCCCTGTTCCTCTTTCTCTGAAAGACAAGCCCCAGAAGGTGGGGGTGTTTGTGGATTATGAGGAGGGTCTGGTCTCCTTCTACAACGTAGGGACCAAGACTCTTATCTACTCCTTCACTGGTCAGTCTTTCACTGAGAAAATCTTTCCATTTTTCAGCCCTTGCAACAAACGAGGAGATGTGAACACAAAGCCTCTGATTATCTACTAGTTAGTTAGTCTACTACTAGTTAGTTAGTGTAATTATCAAACAATGTTTCTTTAAAAAAAAAAGTTAATGCAACAAATAAATGACAGGGGTTATACATTGCCCTAAGATTTAATCTCTAACCTTCCTCAGAGAGTGTGGATTGATTTGCTGCATCCAAATATCTGAATGTTTGATGAATTAGACTTACTATACTTTATTATTTTTTTATATGTCACACTTTTACATTACAGAAGTTTTATGAAATATTGCACTATTCTAATAAGGAAATTTGGTGTGGTAGCATTGCTTGTATCGTGTTCACCCATAGAT